CTAAAGGGTTTTTGAGGGGGCGTTTATTCAAGGGATGCGTTTAGTTTTTTTTAAATAAACGCCCCTTAATTGCATGATCATAAAGAGGGGAATTTATTGGAGGGGGGCATTTATTCAAAGCGGGGCGTTTATTCGTATACGGTAATAGATTCCGATGTAGGTGGTTTCACATGTCTTATAGAAAAATATAATTATAAGCAGATACAAAAAAATGAAACGATTGCATACGTTGGCATATAGAGGCATAGGGCCTAACATTTATTAAGACGAATTTTCGTTTATCGTATGAATTCACACACAACATTTGTGTGAAATAATTAAAAATACTAGAAAATATTCTCACCAGTTCTCTGTTCAGCCTCCATTTGGACTCTATTATGCCGCATTTTAAAAACTGAGCCATCTCCCGCATCTAAACAAAATTATTTTAATGTAGTTCATTCAAAACAAAATGTATTTCTCTTTCTTTCAACAATGCAAATAAAATTAAATTGGACAAAAGAGTTAGAGCAGTTACCAGAAAGAAGACGTAGGGCTGCCCACAAGTCATATAATCAAAAACAGATTTACAATATCTGTAAAAGAGTAAAGATAATTAAACACTCATACTACACAGTATACAAACACAGTATGCACACTTAGACTTACTGTAAATGTTCTCTAAATAATAATTTTATTTTATTTATTTATTTTTTATTTATATTTATATTTATTTTTATTTTTATTTCTATTTTATATTATTTATTTATTCTTTTTATGAAGTGGACCTATTAGTATTACTATTGTTACTCCATTATTAATTAGTTTCAAGGTATAAAATAATAAGCAATAACAAATTACTGATAGTCCATACAAACTACCGGTATGAGATGAAAATGACGTTGTGCAGTATGTATTTTTTTAATTTTATTTAAAAAAAATTAAAATTAAAAAAAATTCATAATAACTCAACGTGTTATGAGTAAACTTATATCACATTACCGTACAATGATGAAAAGTACTTTTATATAAAAATGAAAAGGGAGAAACAAATTAAGGGATATACTGGTCAAATAAAATCTATATTAATAATGGTTACAATTGGTTAATGCCTAAACTTTGAAATCATGTTAATATCATAGAATTATGCTTAAATTTATTTTTTTAATTTTCATATAACATACGTTTATTGACTTGTATATATAAGAATCAAGAGAAGTTTAAAAAATAAGAAAATCAAGAAAAAAGGTGAAATATCAAAAAGGCTGTAATGCAGAATGTCTGCAATTCAAATAACTTGATGTATTGATGAATAAAAGTGGTGGTTGATATACCACAAAAGAGAAAAAAGAAACACTTTAGTCTACCATCATCTCCACTCATTATATCTAGGCATCAGGCACCTACGAATGTTGTATTCCAGTAGCAGAAACCGAATGTGATAATATTACATTATTACTAATAATTTAATATTAGAATTACCCAGTGAATAAATCTACACGTCCTTCGACTCAATTTCTATGTAGCGACGGAGCCCGACGAGGGGTCCAACGTCCCGACAAGTATTCCACACTACCACCAACCCACCGTGGCTGGGTTGAGGGTAGGTTCTTAAATTTAAGGAACAGAAACCTAGAGACCCAGAAATGACACTTTCAGACCTGCTCAGACTGTAAAATGCATTCTCAGTGACAGCCTCGACGAAATTATACCCAAAAGAAGGGTGTGTGTAATTTTTATCAGTCATGTTACAGGTGATATTTTTTTAAATTTGAACAATTACACATAATACTCCACCGAGTAACATTTGTGTTACCCTTGGGGAATTTGAGGACTTAGCGGAACGCAGAATCTATCGATGATGTACTAGTAAGCGGTATTAATTTGCGTATACGAGGATACCAGCGTTAGCATAGACGATGTCATATTGTGAGTTGGAAATTAAAATATCTGTAAATTGACAAACTGCAAAGCTATCTATGTATTCTAACATCAAACAAACAATTGGTTTTTGATTCAATTTAAATAATAAATTCTGAAAAATTGAAACAGTTATAACAATATGAAACAAACCTTCTCTTACATTATTAGACAGAAATATTATTATCCTACTAATTAATTTCATTAAAACATTTCAAAGCTTCCAAAATCAACCAAGCTTGATTAATTACCTCCTCCAAGGAGGTTAGTATTCACTGCATATCTACAGTGGCGGATCTAGGATTTAGCAATGTGGGGGGGGGGGAGGGGTGGATAATGGGAGGTAAGAAAGACCGAGCGGTGGGGTGGTTTTGGGAGGGGAGTCACTCCCATGAGATTTGTTTGGAATTATTAGACTTCTAGACGATCTTAATTGGCATCTGAAAAGAAGTAAGCTTAAAATAGAGAGCACACTAGAAGCACACACACAAGGCGAGTGCCCATTATTTTTTACGGTAAACGAACGGGGGTGGCTAGCCACCATATTCACCCCACTCTAGATCCGCCACTGGTCTATCTCTCTGTCTTTCTGTCTGTTAGCCATATTACGCAAAAAACTAATGAATGGATCATCATAAAATTGAGCGGAATGGTACATAATAATCTAAGAAAGACACCATTCAATTTTCGGAAGAAGGGTCACAGGACAAAGTCAGGGTCACAGAAATTCGATCTTGTAGGCCTAACTTCAAGCATAAAAGAAAATAATGGAATCGCCCCACGTATTCAGGCAGCGCAGCACTCAAGAAAATAATGTGCCTAATTACGTTAACAAATCAGTGTAGACCACCTCGGCCTTATCCACCATGGTTGGGGCTGAGGTAAGACAATTTATGATTATGCTGGCACGTCTATAGATGACCGGAAACGGCAGTCACAGACATAAACAATTGAATATAGCTTTCTTTTTTTCTCTTTTTTAATGGGCGGCTGGGCCCTCTTGATCTACCTATGCACGTCATTCGTATCAGTAAGCTGAGTTCGACCATTTTCTATTTTTACGGGAGCGGAACACTAGGCCTATACTATAGAAAATTGAGTTGGCACTGTCACACATCAGTAGACACCCCATCCACCATAATCTCTAAAGAGCCAAAACTCCTGGAAGTTTTTATATACTAGAGCGTAACAGTGCCATCCCATAGAACATGTTAAGACCGTGTCCACTCTTTAGCCAATTGAGAGCTGTGTATGGGCGCAGGAGAAGGGGTTCATCGGAATACTCACCTCCAAAGGGATCCTCTACTAGAGATATACTCATGACCTTTGAAGTTTTCTCCCTGCCACTATCCATCCTTTGCAGGCTCTGACTAGCCGTTTGACCACTGACCTCTCCAATTGACATAGTTGCCTCCCTGTCACTATCAATCGTTTGTGGGCTTTGAATAGCCGTTTGGTAACTGCTCTCTCCGGCTATTCTCATTTTTACTGCTTCGGCGGCCGCCGCGAGCCTAGCTCCTGTAACACCTGAACTGGAATCCGCAGTCTTTGATGCTAAACGGTGTTTTGAAGTTTTTTTCGGCATTATCTGAACGGGGACAAGAAGTTAAGGATGAATAACTACCATCATCATCTTGTACATTTTTATAGGTATTATGAAGTTTTGTGAAAATATTGAAACGTCAGTCAAAATTAAGAAAATGTAGGTCTATAGGGATTTATTGGATTTGAGTTAATTAGAACAACAGTGGAATACAGACATACATGTTATGGTGGGTTGAGGCATATCAATAACCAATAGCCGTAACATAAATAAATATAACAATCCGATATTGATGATCGACTACACCAGTGCGACCCACCTTGTCAGAAACTCACTCACAGGTTTTTAGTGAGCTGTAAAATCAACGACGAAAACAATGGCTAGGCCTAGACTTAGATATATAAGGTTCTTACCAGAGTAAGTTATATTATTATATTTAAATGTATATACCGCAATACTGTTAAGAGATTATCTCTACGTGTATCATGATTATTATGTGTATTATGATAAAATTAAATCAAAGAAATCCACATTTAAAAAAAAAACAAATTTGCCAATCATCCTTATGTAATCCATATAGGCTTAATTCAAATACCTGACCATACTTTCAAACACCTAAATCAATCCACCTAAGCAATATCAAAATATGCCATCGGATAAATGAAAATAAATTTTGAAATCAATAAAAAAAATATGTAGTTACCCTCATTTTCGAGTGCATGCGCCCGCCATCAAAACTCTGGTTTTGGAGTTCCACATAATAAATTGTACCCATCTCCAAAGCCAGATTTCTGCGCCCAGCGCAAATTTCTGGTTAGCTATTACTGACTACAGTTACTATTACTGTTCAACGTAGCCTGTGTGAAAATATGGCATGGTACACTAAGCATCTCAAATTGCAGTTTTCCGCGTTTTGAGATACAGACTTATTAAACCTAAATCCTGACAGTGTCCTAGCTATAAATATAACTGTGAAACAATATGATAAATTAATTAATTATTTATATAAATCTTACTCTGAAGCGCCATGGGGGTACTCTTTCTTGAAAGCGGGTTGTGCCTTATATAAGTTTCCATATCATTACCATCATCACCATCATCATCATCATCATCATCATCATCATCATCATCATCACAATCACCATCACCATCACCACCACCACCACCACCACCACCACCACTATTACCTCGTTATGCAATTAAAAGATAGCAAACAGATGTATTATCCCATGCAAAATACAAAAAAAAAATCATTTTTGAAATTAACTTGCCCATTTTATAAGTACTGTAATATAAAAATTATCAACTTGAACATAGAAATTAGTGTTTTCCAAAAATGTTTACCCATCATTTTACAGGGAAGAATGATAGAAACACTTTCAGTCACTGAAAATGTTTTATTATTTTTATTATAATTATCCAGTTTAAAAATCAGTGTACACATTTTTTTATACAAAATCTAAATAAACAAAAAATAATGGTATTCAAATCAGGAGGTAAAAAAAAATTTTTTTTAATGGTATACAAATGGAAAATTAAATCTAAACGGTCAATGGAATAAAACAACCAAACACAACTGCTAAAAAGCTAATATAGTTTCCCCCAAATTATTAAAACCGCAACAGAAAATATCTAACAAAAACATATGAAACTAGGTTTTGGATGCAAAAATGATATGAACTTTTTCTTTAATGGGAGGTTAAAAATGTTTTGAATTCTTCAATATATTGTATTTTTCCTTACATCGATAAATTTGAACGATGACAACACATCATGATCATACATAGGCACATCATGACTTATGGACAGATTTTTGTCAAAGTAAATGTGATAGTCTGGACAGCGCCTAATATCAAACATAAAACACAAATGTTACTTATACTCTTATCAGGGGCGGGCATGCCCCCGGACCCCTAGGACATTGTTGTCTCGATCGACCCAAATTTCGCCCTTTCCCCCACCCCTTTCTGCCCCCTTTTGGACATCTCTGGATACGCCCCTACTTATAAATGAGAACAGAATACACTATGATAGTATAACGGGAAAGAGGCCTGAGAAATAATCAAAGCTCCATCTAACCGAACGAACGTGCCTGACAATGCACCAGGTTTCGTTGACACACGTCCAAACTGGAGAAAGCATGTCAACCATTTAGGCGTAGATCCCGGGGGGGATATACCCCCCAATATTTGACAAGGGGGATGGTCCATTGTATCATCCCCACCCCCAATATTTTGACTATGGGATAAAATGGAGTTTTACACACTTCAAAGACTGTCACAGAAGTAATTTGCACTGTCTTATGCGCTTACAAAGATGAAAATTAGCATAATGTATTAATGTTGATAACAAAATTATTTTATCTGGTACCAATCTATAAGCTCTTCTTTCCTTAGATGTTAGATGTGCTTTCAAAGAGAGCCACATTTCATGCTCAAGGGTGTGTACAACATCAGTAATGTTATGTCAATTCCAAGAATGTTTAAGGTTATATCGGTTGATGAGGAATTTATTGATTAGGCCTATAATAGCAAATTGCATCAATTTATTTTGCAAAAACAAGAATTCCAGCTTCAGAGCGGGGCACATCCCCTGACCGCACAAGGGCACACATTGGCGCCAACACCAGGCGCGTAACAGGGGTCTTGGGTCAGAGTGGGTATTTATTTTCCCGGTTAGTAATTTACCATACCCACCCTACCCCACCCCACTCCCCATAATACGACATAGGGCTTATCTTATTTATAACATGTGTGTTTGAAACTAAATATAAGCATTTTCGGCATGGTTGTATTTATTACAAACATATTCTTTCACCATCAATACATATTGAGGCCCTTCTTTTAGGTTAAAACGATGTGTCTGAATTTGTCTTTCTTTGGGACTAGTTTGGGACTATTATTAGGTTTATGTGTTTAAATAACTTAAAAGGATAAACCTAAAATAAAGCCCTAAAAAATACGCGCGAAGTGCGCAAAATATTCTTGTGTTTTTAATTCTAATTTCGTCGGAATTGATGAAAACTCCCTAAAATGTGCAATTTATAGAGGAAATTGGCCTACCGTAACAAGAAATGCGAGCAAAGAATTTGAGAATTTTAGGCACTTTCAGAGGATGCGTTTTTCAAGTGGTGGGGAAAGATTTTCCAAAGATGGATATTTTTTCCTTGTTCCCCGGTGTTTTTAATTCTAATTTCGTTGGAATTGATCAACTCTCTCTAAAATGTGCAATTTTTAAAGGAAATTGGCCCATGCTAACAAGAAATGCGCGCGAAATTTGAGGTTTTCTCGGCACTTTCAGGGGATGAAAAGGGCATTTATAAAGGGGAGGGGAAGATTTTTCAAAGATAGATATTTTCCTCTTGTCCCCCAGTGGTTAAGCCATCGGGCAGCATATAGATCAAAGGAGTTATGACAGTTTTTGAAGTGGAGAAGGGGTTGCAGGGTGTTGTGAGTCTGGTCATTATGATATCTTCCTTTCTTTTCTTTATTTTTCTCTTCTCTTTTTCTTTTTCTTTCCTTTTCTTTTTTTCTTCTTTCTCTTTCCCTCCCTCTCCCCTCTTTCTTTTCTCTTATTCCCCAGCCCAGTACGACGGTTTGGTCAGCCCGGTAAAAACCGTCAGGGGAGGGGCAGTTTTCCCCCTGCCCCCACCCCGCGCCTGGCTAACACGCCAATCATCTCCCACCCCCAGTGAAAAAAACTTTTCTACGCCACTGATGTCAACATTGCAATTAACCCCTATAGCTTCTTTTCAAAAATTTGTGTCAGCCTTGACGAACAAGCTTGGAGGAAATGTAATAAACATAACTTCCTGAATTCATATCACTCCATAGGATAATGCCTTGGACGAGCTCAGGCTCGAGAGGCTGTCTGACCAAGGAGGTATAAAATTATTATACCTCCTTGGTCTGACCGTAGAGACAAACTCTGTAGGAAGTCTGCTCTAGCTGCCTCTAGATCTCTACGGCACTCACAATGGTTTACTCTAAATGACAAATATCACAACATGGCCCTTCAAAGTTCAAATAAATATAAATTAATCAACTGCAAAACAAAGCGTTTCCTAAATAGCCCAATCCCATATGACTAGCATCCTTAACTCTTACATGGGATCTGTCCCTGTCCTTCTTTCGGCCTGGGCTCGTCCAATGTTCTTTGCATTTTATAGGATTTTAATGATTTAGTGTCTTTTACTTTTGGTTTTTAAATGTCTTTTACTTTTGGTAGTAACTGTGTCACAATTCAGTTACTATACTGCTATGACCAATCTTACCAATTTGTAAATTTTTTACTGAAATTCATAATGCGTAAAGAGGCAATAAAATAATCACAGCTACCTGGTGTACCTTGCTTGCTATTTATTTATATTCGCGCTGGTCTACCATTGAGTAATATTTGTGATGATGCGTTTTATACGTTTTTCAATAAATTTTATGTTCCGTAGCTACCGTAACCCTGTCTTTTATTTTCGTAATTGACTCACATGTTATACTTATTTCGAACATACATACGTACAGCTCATCATTATTTAATGGCAACTCTACTATATGTATGTATATATACATATATTTATATAGGCCCTGTATGTATATATTATTTATGGCCTAACAACCCACACAGTGGTCACACCGACCTAGAAATCGCTCTCATGTTCCGGTGGTTGAGGTGTGTTTTTTTAGAAGTTTTTTTTATCTGTAATAGAAGTCGTAATAATCCTAAAACCCAGCCTATTCGCTCCCTTACGTGCGTAAATTTGAACTTCAAGATATAAATTTCTCCATTATGGTACATGGCCGAATCCAGAGAAAACCGGGTCTAGAACCACACCCTCCCCAGCAACCCCCCCCCCCCACCCACCCCCCGCACAAAAAAAAAGAGAAAATGAGAGAAGAAAAAATAAGGTGGAGCACGGTACTTGTATTCCACATCGTACCAGACAAGGATTTTCTTAATGACATCTCAAGCACAACATCCCCTGCACCCCACCCTTTTCCGCTCGGTGCTTCACACGTTGCATGACCCACCCAGATTTTCCACTTTATGGGCCACCTGACGGGTACGCCTAATTACAATTCCAATGTAATAAAACTTATCAGTCAAAATACAGGAAAATACCGCAAAAATAATAATTATGTAAAAAAAAATCAACAGCTTATTTAAAACAGATTGAAAAAATATATATAGTTTCACCAATTTACAGACATTTTATTGCATAAATTGGCTGGAATCAATGTAGAAATTTGCAGTTAAATGTCTAAAAATCGGTGAAAAAAATATATTTGATGATCCCCTTTATGAGCTAGGCCTTATTCAAATTTGTTTGAGGTTTTTTTTTTTGTTTAAAAAAAAACACAAAAGACAGTAAAACCAATATTTCTTAATTATTCGAGCCGCTATTATGGGACGTCCTCATTGTATTATCAAAGTTCATTGACGAGATGCATTCTGATTGGTTTCTAAGCACAACAATGAAGAGCTGAACACTTCCTGGAGAATAACAACAAAGTCCCGTACGCAAGGACCGTGTCCGTGACGATGGACGGAAAGACCAAAGTTTGAGACGCCGTTTTTAACCATTTAGTGGTAAAAATAAACGTAGTAAGTTATCTATGACAGTTCATAATGTACACTTGATATTGTACTTAAATACTGTAGTATTTTTGGGCATTATTTTGTTACCCTACCGCCAGTACACACGCAAGTACTTACCATGGGACTTACAGTATTTATACCACCCTCACTGCATATTTAGCTTCTGATGATGGCTGTCTCGCTCGGCTATCGTCCTTGTGCTGAATGGAGCTACATAAGCCTAGCCTGCGAAGCAAGAGTTTTAGGCCAGTTGGCCAGGGAGGTGGTATTGGCCAAGCCGTCCACATTTCAAAGTGGGAGGGACATCATATCAATTTCCCATTACAGTATTTAAAATCCCACTTTTTAAAGTGAGTGGAAAGTACAATTACGAATGACTGTCAAATCACTCATTCAAAATCATATAGCCTATGAACTAATAATAATAAATCCCTTTTTATGAATGTTATTCTGCAGATATAAGTGGGCTTTTTATTCAAGATTACAAGGTAAATTAAAAAACGTTTTATGATGACAATTCTGAAAATGTATTAACTAAACCATTTCACTACCTAAATAAATATATATATTCAGTACTACCAACTCATTTATTTACTTGTATTTACTAACTACAACTACTCAACTACTGATCTAATATTTTTTAGCACAGTATTCATTGTGATATCTATTTGGTAGAAATTTAATGAAAACCAAGGTTTTTTTCTGTTTTTATGATCTTAAACAGTTTAATTTCTGTATAATTGATTCTGTTTCTTGTTTTCTTATTCAGTTTTCCATGGAAAAATAAATTCACAGCAAAAGCAAAAAGAAATCAAATGGCACCAAAGAAAGGCAAAGGAAAGAAAGGAAAGAAGAAGAAGCTGAAGGGAATGGTAGAACATCCTGGTGACTTAGTTAAAAAGCTTCAAAGAATTTATGTAAATAACTGTAATCAAAAGAAAAGTGCAATATGCCCGGGTATCAAGTCTTTGATGAAGAGGTGTGCTGAAGATGATAAACTCATAGTCAAGGTAAGAACACATGTTTCTTTGTGTTCTCCCTTATTTATAACATTCCATGTTGAAACTAGAAACAGTCACGCTTTATAAGTACCGCTTTTCTAATTTGTTGGGTTTAATTTGTTAAACAGAATTGTGTACTGTGTGTGGTTTTAGAATGGTGGTTGATATTCCTATTTATTTCCTAGGTTAATGTTGTTAAAGTGTGTTGCAAGCCATAGTGGCTGTTCAGTAATCTGAATCACATCCCAATGTCAGAAAATTAGGAATGCACTGTAGAAATGTGCTCTAATTTTTCGGGTAGTTTTTTTTATAAATCGAAATACAGTGCACTCCTCCAATTTGAGACCCCTCTAATTCGAGGCCACTTTTCCAAAGAACAATCTTCAACCTTTCAACACAAAGCTAGCCCTCTAATTGGAGGCCAACCCCGAGACCACCCCAAGGGTGGTCTTGAATTGGAGGGTGAACTGTGCACATTTTTGATTGCACAGTAATTGTCATAAGGCAAGACTTTTTTTATACCATGTTTAAAGAACCCACCGCCTGCCAATAATGATAATTTCAAATAAAAATACAATTTTATTTTTAGCCAATTAGCGTACCCGCCACCAAGAATAAATGTTTTTCTTTATTTTTATTACGCCCTCCACTGCCTTGAAATCTACAAAAATAAGATTTAACCATCCCATTACTACACTGTTTACATTCACTAAACATTTATTTCATTTTCTCCACCTTTTGGATGTTTTTGCCAAAACTATTGGTTAAATAAGAAAAAAAAAAATTTTTTTTTTATTAACTGTCCGAAAATTGACAGGGAATATTTTCTTCATTCAGATTTGAAATTTTAATAAATAAATAAATTTATTAAAAATACAAATTAAGCAATTCAGATGCAGAAATTAAAATTTCCATATTTTGTTTACCTCATGATAGATAATACATCTTCAACTGTACAGTAATTTAAATTTAATTAAAGCTTTGAAAACTGACATTATTAATATCCTCTAGTATAATCTCTTTTAATATGTCTTTAATATCAATGTTTTTAAAACTGTTTTTAATTGAACTTAATAGAAATTTTCTTTCCAGTGGTTTATGCGAGCCATAAAATCTAGCTAAAATGATAAAATTTTAATAATTCTTACATTAATTAAATGATTTCATATTTTTTTAAATGTTACAGTTTATCCTCGAGCCAATTCCCAGCTGGGAAGACCCAGAATTGTCAAACGTCCAACTGGAACCACTACTGATGGCAATTCGTCATGAACGCTACAAGTGGATTAAAGAAGTACACATTTGGGAAATTCCATTAAAACATGAAGATGTTGCAAGTCTAGTAAGTTCATACTGTGATGATTTGGGCTAATCCATAGGCCAGAACTTTTTGTAGGCAGAATCAGATTGTTGACATTGCTGTCAGCGATGATCAGGATTGTAGCTGTAAAAATCTAAGGGTAGTTGATAGACATTTTAAGGGTGGGTGGGTGATAACATTGGTGAACTCTGAATAATAAGAGTGGATTTTAAAGATGGAAAAGTAGGTTAATAAGGGTGGATAGAGGGCCTTGAAATTAGCTTTTAACTGGGTGGAAAACTTCAAGACTGGGTGCCCTGCCCACCTCCCCTCATTATAACTACATATCCCTGGATGAGTATACCTGTAGAACCACGGACTGCTGGTAATTTCGGGGAAGATACACCAAGACGATAACATGCAAAAACCAAAAGTATGTTTGTTGCGTTATTTTGCAAGCAGTAAAAAAAATTGTCCATGTGGCATCCTCTTATAATCTATACCAACCCATGCAAAAAGCGAATAAGAAAACTTGCACTTAGCAGAGGCAATAAAAAGTACTATCCTAGCAAGGAATTTACTCGTCCCTTAGTATTTACTTGCCAATTTATTAGACACGCTATTTAGATGATATGCGACTTGATAAAATTTAAAATAAGTATGTTTTTACATGTATAATTGTTTTGGCACATCGGACAAAACCTAAAAAAAAAAGGTCTGGTGGTAGTCATCGTTTTAAAGTGGTTTTATATCCTGTACATCAATTTTCAAGCTGTTGTACCTTCGTCTCTATGGATTATGTACACGATTCCCCAAAAAAATCATTAGCGGATTATATGAGCTAATAAATTCATAATGTTTGTTTAAAGGCATTGACACTTGAGAAAGGACCATACCCAATCCATCGACTTGAGCTTTTTAACTGTGATCTGCAAGCATATGCACTGGAGAGACTTCTAAGGTTTGTATTCTACTCAACAGTTTATTATATGTCCACTATTGGTTGGTCAAACCTGATACTGTGCATTAATATTAATCATTTGCAGAAACTTCAGAATCGTTTTCCCAGATTAAGTTTATTAGTTGGATGCTTCAGTGTAGCGCTTATAAAAATATTGATGTGGCGCTTTTTTCCATATGCATCCCCATGTTCCCATCTCGCGTATTCCTGTACAGCAGTTCAGTATCCTATCTGTGGTCCTACATCATCGTAAATGAACGTTTATAAAGAAATGCTTGTGTCTTCATTGTGTTATATATATATTTTAACACTGTATACATTCTCTTTAAAACCCCGTTTCTCAAAGTGTTTCATTACACACAGGGTAATAATATACTCTCGATTAAGCACCACAGCGTTGATTTGAGTGTGGCGCTTAGCAAAAAAAAATTGGGTTTGGTGCGGCGCTTATTCAAGCATTTTGGCATATATTCAAATTAAATTCTGAGAGTGCAATTTTCAGCCATCTAGGGGTGGCATAATCATACATTTCTTACCTCAGCCCCAACCAAGGTTTGGGTTCGAGTTGGTGCCAGTGGCGAAAGGAGATATTTAATAATAATAATAATATTTTGCACATCCATATAAAGTTACTTTGATTGCCAATCCCTTATGTGGGTCATACTAAGGCATAAAAACTATCCGTGAACCCTACCAGAGATTTTTATCCTGGGACCCTTATCGAGGCTGTAGTCTGCACTCTTGGTTCAGACCCCTCTGCCTGCAAATTTCTGCAGGTGCCGCTGCTTCACTGTGAAAGTCCCTCCCTAAGCCCCCTCTATTTCGAATTCCTGGATCCGCCACTGTGGACTCCTAGAAATAACAATGTGCTATAACATTAAATTTTATAACAGATTTTAGTCATTAATATGATTTTTTTTTTTTCTGTTTTCAGAAATGCAAGTTCCTTCACAACACCCCTAACCATTCTTAATTTAGATGATAACCAGTGAGTAAAAAGTATATTTTATGATTATTAAACTCATTTTAATTACTTATTCATTTGCACCTTCAACTAAATTTGGATGGCCCCTCAGCTCACAGGCATGTGGTGACTGTCGTTTGTACGCAGTAATCAATCATTACGGACATAAAGCAGACATTACCCTTCAGAAGGTTTTCTGTCATTAAAAAAAAACATTCAATAAAGTAACCCAGTATGAGTCACATGAAATATGCTATTTTAGGACATCTATGGACCAGAAAACCCTATACCCACATATGTACTGTAGCCAAAAGCTTATTGATATTTCAGTAGTGTGTCTGCGAATATGCTTGGAGTGGTGGCATTCAAGTAGACATTTTGGGGTCACTAGTTTATACACAATTTAGGATTATGAGCAAAGTTGTAGGGAACCAAACATATGTACAGTAACTGTACAAGTCAATTCATGCATGGACTATTTTTATAGCTTCATGGCAGACTCAGGAGTGGTTATTGCAGTATATTTCTCAGGCCTATAACCAGGGGTGGGGTTTTTTTTTTCAACCCCGGTTTTTTTTTTTCAACCCCATTTATTGACCATCCCCTCTTAACCAAAGAAGTAAAATTAACCAATTACATTCTAGAACATGAAACCTCTAGGGACCTTGGGCCTCATTAAAAACCCCTTTAGGAAATCACATTACTGTACTTACCTGTTCCGGCTGTCAACAGCTTTATTAAAGTATACACTGACATTCATTTTTTAAACTTGTGCTATATATACCCAATACATTAGTAATAGATATTTTCCACAAAAAAAACCCTTTTACAATGATTCACTGTGTACAGTATGTTGGTCTTTTAAAACAATCATCACAGGACTTAAACAAGATTTGTTATTCTGTTTCAGATTTGGTGATGAAGGTGTGAAAGGACTCTGCAAAGGGCTTAAAAATAATAAAACTTTGTTAAGTCTTAGCTTATGTTATTGTGACCTTGGTGTAGAAAGTGGTATTATGCTTGGAGAAATATTGTCATCAACAGCGATAAGGTAGGCCTACAAATCTAAATTTTACAATGTCTTTCTTCTTTATCATTCAAAACTAAATATTTTGTTTACATATGCAATGGAAACAAATGTAATATAATTTCAGATAAAGGAGGTTGAAAGAGGCTACATGCCTTGTCAGGTTCAACATCCACTAAAAAAAAAAAGTACAGTATTATATATCTTAAAAATACCACAATACTTTTCAAGCTCAATACCATGTAGACAAGGACTAGCTAATTTTATTACAAAAATTATGTTTAAACATACATGTTTTGGCAATACAACTGCCACCTTCAGTGTAACGATTGTGAACGTATAATCTTCTTTATATATATGGAGTGAACAACTGCGATACTGAACTATAGCTATTTGAAACAAACAACATGACATTGCATTTTAAAGAATCAGTTGACCCATAACTGTAGATAAGAAATGGCATGAATAAAGGTAAATAATGAAATACAAATAGATAGCACATCATAAACATTCATACAGCTCTGTGGGAGACCATTCATTCTTTTTTACTAAAGAGCCACCCTGTAAAAAATAACATGCCCTTTACTGACCAACATGTTGCTTCCTACTTTTATTTGTTGTAAATCTCCATCTAAGCAATTCATCACCGATACCACAAAGAAACACAAACTTAAAAAATCATATTTTTAAATATATTTTTCCTTTTGTTTCTCTCAAAACGTTGTTTTCGTCGAAATTGAAGTTAGTGTCTTTGCGAAAACGGTGACGAATTATCGCCTAAGTACATGAATTAATCCATATTAACTACAAAAATATTATATGTTTCATGCCTTAAATCTATGAAAAAGTTATATTATTTTGTCAAAATCATACAGATCTCCTATCACCTCACTAATTTTTAATTATTCAAACTCAGTATTATTTTATTGTCATCTGCTTAAAGCCAGGTTCCAGAATATAAAATATTATATTTTATTATTATAATATTATATTAAATTATATATTATTATTATATTATTCAATATTTAAAAACTGGAGGTAAAAGTGGCATAACCACCATTTTTTCCACCTTTCTACCCTCAGTTTTTAAATGTGCGAAAATTTGTTGTCCTCTCCCGAGTTTTTCGTTAAATATGGTTCTTGTGTCTTGGAAAAATCAGTTGTACAACATACTGTATCAAAAAAAATGTTCTTTTGCCTCTGGAGCCTGGCTTTAATTGCGAGGCAAAGACCAATGCGGTGCTCTCATTCTTGGATTTTAACTAAAGTACTTCTATACTTTTACTTTCTCCATATTTGGGGAATTCTCTGAATAAATGTGAAATTAAAGATACAAATCCCACTTATTATTACATAACACCCTAAAACTCATACATGTGTTGTGTTTCCCTTTTATATCCATTCTCCATATTGGAGGTATTCTCTGAATTTGAAATTAGAAATACAAATCCCACTTATTATTACAAACAACCTAAACTCTTACCTGTGTTGTGTTTCCCTGCAAAACAATTAAAATATTTGCAGCAGTTAGTTGTATTTTTTTCCTATTATGAGCAAGTGTTGCTTTGTTGAAGTTTGAGCTTATGAATGTTTGTCGATTAAACACAGTCACTCTTTAACTCTTTGTAATATAATTATATAGAGTATTTGGCTATACTTCAAGGATTTACAGTATACGTCAATGGGAATTTAAAGTTACGGAATTGAGGGCACTGGATTTATTCCTATAACAGGTGTTGCCTTGAGCTTGAAGATGTTTTTGATTAAGATTAAGATGTTATATTATATATTTGGCTCTACTTCAAGGGATGTATACTTGAATGGTAATAATTTGGAGACAGAGGGTGCTATTGAACTAGTTAAACTGCTTGCTGACCATGCTGAAATGGAATCATGGGAGCGAGCAGATATGGTGGAAAGAAAGGCAGAAGAGGAAGCAGAGGCTGCATTGTTAGGTAGGTACAGTACCTCATAAAAAAAAAATTACCGAGTTTAAAATTTTATTGTTGTTACTGGCTGTATTTATTCATATAGATATACATACAGCTGTTGTAAAATCTAAAGAGAACCTAATTATATTCTTATAAATTTTAAGTCAACTTCCAATAAAATTAAGAAATAAAATATTTTTTAGCTAAAGAAAAGGAGCGTGTTGAAACAGCCATGTCAGGAGACTCCAAACCAGGGTCAGCAAAGAGCAAGAAAATTTTACAAGGAAAAAAGAAGAAAAGGAAAGGTGAAGTGGTTATTCAAATTGTATTCTTCAAAGCTCTTTCCACAGTCAAATTTTCTTGGGACAAAAAACTGTTGTATGCCCATATATAGTCATGATGTGATGTCATCATGACCATATTTAGGCATGTAGTGTGTACAGAGCTTAAAAACAAGTTTAAAAAGCATGAATATAAGTATTTATTACCTCTGCCAAGGAGGTTATTTACACCATATTCACAGCTGTCTTTCTGCCTGTCTGTTAGCAAGATTATGCTAAAATTAATGAATGGATTATGTATGGTATACAAATAATTAATATTTATGAGCGCAATTGGAAGAATATTTTCATGAGTTGAATTTTATGGGGAAAAATATACCTTTTTTTTCTGAATGGATTTTCATGTCACTTGCTATTTTATTTTCAAAAATCTACCCTTATTCTTAATGGAACAGTCCAGCATTTTTAAAATCAAAAGTTTGTACATACATTGTCATATCATATCACCAGGCGCACATGCAATGGAGCAAAACAGATGGAATTAAAAATGCACTGTGGAACTAAATTTCTATGATGATGAAATGGGGTTAATAACCAATGTCTTGTGATACGAAATCCAACAATCAAATGACAAGGATCTATTTAGGCATGTCATCACCGTTTTCACAAAGAGACACAAACTTCAATTTCGACGAAAACAGCGTTTTGAGAAAAACGCATTTGAAGTGAACTACTTCACAAATCTGTAAATTTCACTATCAAGATAACAGAATTTTGAATAATTTTGTTAACATATGTTTATAGATAAAGCATTAAACAATCTAAGTGTGTAATTTATTTTTCTTTTCTTAACTTTAATCTAATTTTGACATCTAGCCCTGGCCAAGCTAGGCCTTACCCAGCGATCACAACGATTGCAACGCCGCACGCGCGTTTTTTAATAACCCAATGAAAGTTTGTGTCTGTTCATGAAAACGTAAAATCCATTTTTCTCGGTTTGTGCGCAACGGCTAATTAGCGTAGTTCCACTCTTAAAAATTAGATGAAAAGGTAAAGCTTGATATACAGTATATAATCAAAATGTCAAAGAAAAAAAAATTGAAAAAATATGATTTTTGAAGTTTGTGTCACTTCGTAATAATCAAATTAACACACCATTCAATTTTCAGAAGAAAAAAGGACAAGGTCACGCAAATTGAACTATTTACCCTCGAACATAAAGGAAAATAATGGAAATCCCCCCTTGTAGTCAAGCAGTACTCAAGAAAATAATGTTACCTGAATTTCATTATTTTCTTTAGGGTATGCTGCAGTTTTGTCCATCATATGGATTTTTATTTATAATGTAAAGCGCATTGAGGCTTTCAGCAAAATGCACTCAATCAAGATCAAACTATTTATTATTATTATTACACAAGACCTGCTATTGTTGGTATTCAGGCACAGGGCTGTATGGAGACTGCTTTAGTTGCATAAATGAATTAAGCGTATCACCTAAATAACAATAAATTATTCTTGTAGGTAAGCGGTCTAAGAAATCCAAAGGCCCCCCACCTCCACCACCAGTGGGACCGTTGATACATAAACTCCACTTGGCAGATAATGGCATTGACAGCTATGGAAAAGGCTCCACTTATGGTCCAGTAATTGCCATGAGGTTGTTCAGGAAGTAAGTATTTGGTACACAATATTAGATACAGGGCTCGATTTAGTACTAGTCTGTCTGTGTATGTGTAGTAAAAACTCCTGGGCTAGACCTACATTATTACTAGCCCGGTGGGTCAGTGATCAGTTATAAACTATTGCTTCAAGTATGCTTGGCCAATAACATAATGTTATTTACCATAAGTACAATTTAGCCAATGATTGCGCTAGTAAAATAGTGAAATATACAGTAAGCTTTTCCAGTGAGCTAGTCACAAAAGAAAGTTAAATTGACTCCTGAGATAGATAGGGAGCACAGAGAAATCATTCCCCTACTTCTGTTTTTGAAATCATGTAGGCATATCATTTGAGACCTAATATGAAAAAGAAAGTTAAAACAAATTAGGGAAGGGGTGGGGGACCTTCCAGCAGAGCTGATCAGTTGGTACTGCCACTCAATGGGAGCACAGAGAACTACTGTTATATATGCAAGTAATCAAATTTGGAGCATCAATCAGGCAGTGTCAGTGTGTTGAATTGGATATGTGCGCTTCATGGGTGTAGGTTGGGGAGTGCGTATGTAGCAAATGTGGCAAAGACAAGCCAACCCAGTCACTCGTCGCAAAAATCAATTTTTAGTTATTAATAAAGGGTTAACGATGTAAATAAAAACTATAAAATTGTAAAAGAATCTTTTAAATCCAACATTTCCTTATCAAGTTACAAGCGTTTAAACATACAACTGTTTAAAGAACAATTTAATAAAGAAAATAACAGCATATCATGATGTATAGATATATAGAGGTTAGGCTAGTGCAATGAAATAGATTTCAAAGAATTTTAAAATTTCAGCATGTTTTGGCCATTATCTCTGAAACACGATTTGCAACGAGTGACTGGTTTGGCTTGTCTTTGCCCCAAATTAGTTCTACTAAGTAGGTTAAAATACTAAAAAATGACCAAAAAGTTTCCATTGGAATAGGGATTTAGTTCCACATTCTCATTTTTCACACCCACCCCAACCAACCTACACCCCTGAACTCGCTTAGTAGCTTCATGGACACATTCCAAGACCAGGGCTGAAATATATACCATAATTTCAGCATAACCCCTATTCTTATGAAAGATACAATGGGAATCTTTACACTGGCAGAATGGAACAATAACAAGTCCTTGGTTGTACCAATTGAAAGGAAGTTATTGTCTTTCTTCTAGGTTGATACAGCATTCTGAGTGTTTAAAGGAGCTTGATTTGGATGATAATCAGATAGGAGACTTAGGAGGAAGGCAGGTGATGGAAGGGTTGGAGCAGCGGGCCTCAGCAGGCCTGCCTGGCATGAAAGTTAGCGTTACACACATGATGAATGGGCAAACTTTCAGTAGCATTATGAAATTGGGAGCTGGATTGAAGAAGAAAAAGAAGAAAGGCAAGGGGAAAAAGGTAAAATACAAAAAAAAGTGTATACTTGCCCAAGCACAGTGACTTTTGCATATCATGTTTTGTCAGTAGATAATTCTATTTTTATACTTTTTAATAACTACCGTAAAACCTCAAATAGAGGCCTCATATGGGCTTAAAGAAGCCCATCTCCACAAGATTCCCCTCCAGTTTTGCAAAAGTAATCTCAAAAAGAAGCTCATTCAAGATAATGTAGGCTTCTTTCGTGATAGTACTACATTCAGACTGCTTTTTTAAACAGGCTGAAAAATATATGCATAATTAAAGAAAACTTAAAATTGTTAAACATTTTGTGCTTTTCTATTCAAGATTTAAAATAAAAATAAATTCTAAAAAAACAAGTGGATGATAAATGCAAGTGTTTAATTATTAATGAACAAAATGGTAAGAAAATGGTGAATGTATAGTGATTTCCTTTTAACATTTAAGTGAGTAAAATTGTGATAGATTATATTTGTGCACAAAATAACGTTTAAAGATACAGTATAGCATTAAATTTCATTCACAACTATTCATACATTAGTGTGTACTTGGATTTTAATGAAAACAAGTGGAAAAGCAAGAGACATCAAATCAATATGAACAATTTGGAAACTTTATAAATTTTATTTTTCAGAAAAAGAAGAAATGAAGTGAGAAAGAATGAAATTTTACAATTTGAATAACAACAATTCAAAGCCTATGAACAACTTGCCTAGATTGCAAAGAAACTGCCTTCCAAACGTAGAGTGAAATTGTCTGGAAAAAAATAACCGGCAACGGGACATTAATCTTACATATCATACTCAGTGGCAGCATGTACTGGGAAAGATAAATTTATTCCTCTCTAGTTCCTGTTTAAATGTCAAAATTTATTTTAATATTCCCCTTTGTCAATCAATCACCTGTTTGTATAGCTCTCTATATATCTCTATGTTTGAACACTGGAAGTGGAAGATACATAATATTTTATACATGGACAATCATGCAAAATGTGACCTTTAAAGTAGCAGATCTTTATTTTGTAAATTAAATTAGGATGAATCTGTACTATGCACATTTTACTATAATTGACTATCCATAGATCATTTGATATAAACATATCATATTGCAATATAAAAAAAAACATTGCTTAATAGCAATAACCTAGTTGTAGCATATATCACACTCTAGAAATAACAGGGAAAAAATGTTAATTTGTAAGAACACACTTGGTGATTGAAGTTTGCTTGGTAATCCTCTCAAAAATTATTTTAGTTTTACAGTCCTAATATTAATCTAATCTTTTCATTTATTGTTAATAACCAATTTTTTTTTCTTTAGCTGGAAATGTAATAACCATTAATCTACAGATTATTAACACATTTGAACTTTTATAATTTGAAATTATGAACACAAATTCAAAAATCAACAATCAGGTTTATTTCTTTTAAATCTACCAACACCTTTTTATAATTACTCTATGCCTAATTAGAGCTGGACACTGGAAGTTACACTAATTAAAGACTATGGTATACCTTAGCTGGACTGATAGAGGATTTGGGTGTAGGAGGTGATGTCACTACTGCTGTGGTTGAAATTCTTTTTGGTAGCTTGTGGACTTCATTGACAATAAATTGTGCACCATCCTCAGCATCAATCAACTAGAAAATAAGTAAAAATTATTATATTTAAGAATAATTAAGTAATATATGTTGAACATATTTGTAATCTATCTGTAACTTTTTTATATTTTTTATCAATTTTTTATAGGCTACTTTAATACGTTAATGTATCGTCTTAGCCCCTGTGTTGTTTTGTAATTTTATGTTGATTTGGCCAGGGGATTTAGAAAATACCCACATCTTCTGTCAGGCTCTCAGCCCATGGTGTCCTCTTGGCACCTCTCTCACCATTTTTTGATTTGTGATTTTTGTACCAAATATGTAATAAATAAATAAACATACATTTTGAATTGTGTTCTGTTATTTGTTAGATTAGATTTAGTAACAGTTATTTAAATCGATTCATGTCGAGTATACAATATAAAAACTGTAAATTATGATTTAGGAATCAAAATAGAAGTTTTAAACTTGTCTCATTATCCCTTAACAAACAAATATACAGTTAAACTTGCCTATCTGGAATAAGTCGCTCTTATTTTACATGCCAAATTGTTGTGTTTTCACTTAATTAACCATCTGTAAGGTGAATTTTATCCAAGTCAAACAATTTTTCAATTTCATTTTGGATTCAACTTAGGCAAGTTCAATTGTATATATATGAAGATATGGATATATAAGAATAAAAAATAAAACATTCAAAAATATATATCATGTCATAGATTGTGTTTCAATACGCAGTATAGAAGTTGAGACCTAAATTGTGTTGTCAGCGTAATTTGAAAGATATTCCCTTTTTAAATTTTTTCTGAATGAAAGTAAATTTTTACAGCTAATGATTTCATTTGTTATTAATTATCATTTACAAGCTAGCTTGCATTTTAAAAATGGAATTAGGTAAAGTAGAACCAGTCAAACCAAATTTGTATGTACTATGACGTTTTAACCTGTTGAAAAAGAATCTTCAACCGACAATAATATATTGCTGGATGTCGACCCTTTCCCGCTATTTAAGGGTTAAAAATCACATAGTATGGACAGATGTGGTTTACTTGTATACATTTTTTCTACTAAACATATGAATACTTTTCATCACAGGTATATAATGATTTTATTCACCTGTCCTTTAAAGAGGTTGTTTGCTTGTTCAGGTGATAAATTCACCTTGCATATTTTTTTAGTCTGTCCTGCCATTGTTTCCCAGCTCTTTCCAGGCTTAGGCTGCATCTTGATAACTCTTGCAGCAACATATGACGATGCCTTTGACATCAACTCTGGGGGCACCAATGTAGACTTTCCTGCAATGACAACTCTCTGTGGATGCGGACTAAGATGCTTTACAGGAAAGTCAAGTTTTGAGTCATAGCCTGTTAATGGTGTACTTCCTAGGGCTATATTTGCTTGGTCCCCATAAATCAGTGGAAGAAGTTTTGGCTTTTGATTGCATTCTTCTGATACGGCAGCTGGAAGTTTGGATGCATGAATGTCAGTCATACTACTAGAAGTGGCAGGTAACTCCTGGCTTTCATCCGGTTTTATGGTAGAAGATTCAGATGCTGCTGTATTCAACTTGCCATTACCGTGTGTACTGACACTGGCATCATCATCATCAACATCTTCTGCAATGCATAATCCACTGGTATTTGGTGATCTAACAGGCTCAACATCCTTGTTGGCAGTTTTTTCACCACCAATCTTCAGCTCAGAATAAATTACACTCACTGCCTTCTCCAAGTGAGGGGCACTGTATCCTGATGATGAATAACCAAAATATAAAAAAATACTTGTATTTTCATTCCATCAATAAAATAGAAATTACGTATTCAAACTATGCATGTACAGTGCCTCAAATTTATCTATTACTATAATTATCTTTAGATTATTAAATAACAATTTGGTTTGGGTTTATTTTTCCATTTCCCATAGAAAATATTTCTAGTCAATGCAACTTCAAATGATAAACCCTTACCAGGTACCCAATTATACGCCTGTGAGATAAGAAATGTAAAGTGTCTTAATTAATGTCCAATGAACAGGGAGGAATATGTGCGTCTCTAACAATAAGCACATGTGTTGTCACGCAAACGCATGTGTTTGCGTATTTGTTAACACTGTCTTTTTTTTTGGGAACTTAGTAAAATTATCCTAGGTAGCGAAACGGTTTGTTGCAGTATCTAATGTAATAAGAAAATGCACTAATTGTATCAAATTCTAAATAAATCTGATAATTCTATAGGATGTATAATAAAAGATAAAATAATCTATTTTAACCTAATTTCAATCAAATCCTAATTAAGTTTGATAACCTTATAAAAGAATGAATTATATAATAATATACTTTCACAAAATTCCTGGCCAATTTGTTGAATCATTAACTGCTGTTCACTATTCTCCATTGTGTTCACCTCAATTGTGTATAGTATGTATTCATTGTACAGCATATGCAGTAAATGGTATGACCCTGTAGCAGATAAAACAAATTAGCAGTGATGTTGGTAGGCTAGTTTGATACTTTGACAATCAAATACTACAGAGTTAAACAGAAGTAGTTTGCAGGAATTAACAGTTTCGTTTCCAAACCTATGAAGCCTTCATGTGACATAAAACTTAATAGGAAAAGGAACAATTTTAACTCTCCTCTAAGGATGATGGTGGCACTCCTCAGACGACAGATCTTATTAATTGCCGTTCATGCCAGCCCCCCTCCCCCAGGCCAAAAAAAAGCTACTGCTGCTTATATGATGTGTTACTCTGCTTTAATGACATTTGGAAGAGAGCAAAGATTTGTGCTAAGCATTCCATAGCCCTTTCTAAAGGTATATTTGTATATGTTAATCCTTTCGGAACACCATGTCGATAGTTCTGAAAAGAAATGTTGTTGTTTGAGAATATCGACGTTTCAATTGAGTTGCTTCAATCGTCTTTAGGAGAATAATATCTGCAGAAATCCCAAAATAGTGAAATACTTATATGTTTTGGTTGGCAAGACTTGCTGAAAACAATAGCTGGTTTTCAACCAATCACCGCAACAGTATAGAAATGAATACTACAGAGTCAATTTTAATAATGAAGTTCAAAGCAAGCTGTCCTTTAGATAATACAAAATTTACAAAGTATTCAAGTACTGTATGCCAACCTAAAATAAAGGATACAAATTTGTCAATAATCCCCATTTGTACATTTAAAAAAAAAAAGAGATCATGTTGACAAAGAGTTTGAGATGCAGAAAGAGGTCATTATTTTTTTTTTTATAATTTCCACAAGAGTACAGAACACTGGTGGAGGAGGGGTAAATAGTATATGCACTTCTGTGAAACTGAATAAACTGAGCCTTAAAATGACGACAATCAATTTTTTTTACAAGTACTTGTAGGGGTGGGGGTCTCAGAAAATCGTATGTTTTGTACTCTTGTAAAAATGGAGGACCCAAGTAAGGCGAGACTTTTTTATACCTTGTTTAGGGAACCTGTCACCCACCAATGATGATTCTGAATAAAAATAAAATTATATTTTTGGCAAATTAATGCACCAATCACCACAAGAAATGGAAATTTCAGAAAGAAATATGTTTTTCTTTATTTTTATTACGCCTGCTGCTACCTTGAAACCTCCAAACATAAGATGTATATTTCTTATTAATTGTATAAATTTAAAGCATTTAACCACCCCATTTCTACACAGTTTACAGTCACCAATAAAATGTTATTTTTATTTTCTCCTCCATCTGGATGTTTTTTGGCAAAACTGTTTGCTAAATAAGAAAACAAAAGTTTATTTTTATTTATTTTCTGATGATCCTTAAAAAAAAATAAGTTCAAGAAACAAGGTATAAAAAAGTCTAGCCTAACTTATAATATCAAATGATTGACATACCAAAACTGCTGGCGCTTCTCAAAGTATGATCATGAAGGACTAGCTTTGAGATCGTTGACACATAGAGAAGAAAGTTCTGCATCGCTTTTTCCTTACCCTCCGAGGTCTACACTCAGAATAAAATACCAAAATATTATAAAGTAGAATCTCTATTAAGGGGACACATTTGGGACCAATAAAAGTGTCTGAATAGGGGTTGGCTGTAGAGTTAAAGATAACCTTTCCTTTGTTTATAGTGCCAAAAAAAGTGTTCCCTTTTAAATCGGGGTGTCACATCATTAAGGGTGTCCCAAATGAGGGGTTCTACTTATTTTAGCCTGCAAAACTGCTTCATTTATTTACAGACTGACTAATTTTGATTAATCTATTGAGGGATAGGTTCCGTTATTGATTTTTTGATACATTAATGGTTGAGCGGTTAAGGCAGGTGGCGCCGCAACCTATAGCCCTAATATCGGCGCATTTGCCTATAGTTCAAGTCTTCTCAGATATAAGGTAAATAAACCATAAACAATTGGCAAATGTACACTTTAAATAGCCCAGTACTGTACATTCGAGGCAAGCAGGAGGTTTACCCTGGGTGTACTGGTCAACACAGCCCTGCTGTTTACTGGATAGCTCCAGTCATTCTTCAAGCTGGAATGTTTCATTGTATACAATGTCAAAAAAAAATAAATAAATAAATTTAAAAAAAATATATATATGTCTTCATATTAACTCAGCAGAATTTCTAAATTTTTTGCTAAATCAATGGTTTTTTTTTAAACTAACCTTCTCAATAAAAGTTTTCAGCACACCATCAATCCACTCAACATGCTGTTCTACTGTAGCCGTCTTCTCCAATAAGGCATCAAACTCCTGGAAATCTGATATCAATATTGGAATATAAAATCTATAGCATTAATATGATAAAATTAATTAAAAAGTTAACATAGACCAATTTACAATAAATATACAGAGCAGCAATTTAAAAAAAAAAAGAATGTTAATAAAGAAAATTGTTTTTTTCTCTTGTATGCATCACACAAAAAGGATGAACATCCAACATGCTTACATAAATTATAAATCAGTTAAAAAATACATTATTGCAAACCAAAATAAATTTTCAAATACAGTAGTTAAAAAACAATTCAGTAAAATATTATCAAAGATTCTGTTAGGAAACAAGATAAGTACTATCTACTAAAAAAAAAAAAAAGTTCATGCAAAATGTAGAGACAATCATATTTCCATTATGTGTATGTGTAAGCAAATGGCAACACCAACCAGGGGTTATAGATGGAATTTCGAAGAAAATAAATTGCATATTTTCAATTTCAATTTAATTTATTAGATTTTAGTTGGTTAGGTCAAGTGCTACGAGTTCATTTCAAAAATTAAATTGCATTTGATATCAGTCACTTTTTGTAGCAGTTTAATTCACTTTGGTTCACAACTTCTGGGAAGAATGAAGGGTGTTGAGGTAAAACAGAATGTAACAAATTGCTTGGTTGTGGTTACATCTGGGAGTTTTCTTTGGTTTTGGTCAGCCGCTGTATTAGTCATCCGTTACCTATACTGTTCCAACAGGTCGGTAATTATGATACATTGATCAAGAGAAACTAAAAACTGTGCTAATTGCATTTTTGGCATTCCGGACACATAAGATTCTGTTTTTTATGGCGGCCACTATTACTGCCACAAAACATCTTATGAAAGGACACTTCCTGGAAACTGTTTTTTACTTGAGAGTGATAAATTAATTAAATTTCAATTCAATTCAATACAATTCAATTTATCACTCCAAATTAGTGACAATTAAAAAAGCTATTAAGGGATATTATCTGCAAAATTACAATAATACACATAATGGATGCTCTTACTTATAAAAACCCACCACACACCCATAAAAAACTGATTTAGAACAAAACTGTAAGTTGGAAAAAAACTATCAGGCATTTGAAAACAAGTCAATGATCTAATACTCTATACTATGGTTAAGGTGGTTTTAATTTCTTCAAGCAAAGAAAAATACACAGGACCAAGCTTGAAGGAGAATAATATTAGAATTAAAATAGAAAAAAAATTATATAAATAAATAACAAAACCTGTTGAAAATAGAAACAATACATTGAAGATAAGATAATAAAAACAACAGAAACATGATTATTATATTAGTGTCCAACTTCATTATACATTAAAGAGCAACATTTCCTAGCTTAACTACTAGATAACCTTACATCTATACAAATCAGGCCTATCCTCATCTATATGTACATCTACTATTAACCACTCTATTTTTCTTCTTAGATTTTCCAGGTCAGTTTTTTCTCGCCAGTCTGCTCGCATCATTTTCACTGCCCTGGAATTTTTCAGGATAGCTCTTGTAGCCTGAGCAGGAATAAGCAACAATGCATTGAACCAATTTAGACATGGTAAATTCATTTTAAGACGGCATTATTGAAGATCTTGCATACTTACAGTACCTGAGTAGATATGGAATTCATCAATAAATTGGTAACAGGGAGCTTTTGATTGCACGGCGACGGTAGGACGTAGAACGTAATAAAGTCACTAACACTCATCCGAGCATCCGAGAACGTTAAGACACCTCGTCGAGTAAATTCTGGAACGCAATTTGGCCAAATCTACGTATGCAGATAACGTAGGACGCCAGGTAGGACGGTCACGCTTGAGTGATTCCGTTCTAGCGTTGCATCGTCGCACAAATCAAAAGCTCCCTAATTATACATTTTAAGGAGAGCAACAGATACACACCTGAGCAATATGGGAAAGAGTTGTTTTTCTGACCAATAATTTCACAAAACTTGTTGCAGCTGTAGAAACAAAAGATCAGGGTTTTAAAACACAAACAATATGAAAAAAGATCAGTGCTGATAAAATATGCTCACGCAGGATAGGTTTTTGCTCTAATTATCTTTTACCTTTTTTCTATAGGAATCATACATGGGGGATGAACTATATTATGGTTGTTATGATGCTTGTCTTTCAATACCAAAAATTTCATGTTTCAATTCAATATTTCAAATATCAATTGTATTTGCTGCTCAAGCCATCAAGGACTAAAAATGATCACATTAAAATTTACAAATTACAATAAAAATATTATCCACATTATTTGAATTAATGTTTGTTTTAAATTCATAAAAATGTCTTATGGCTAAATGAATCATCTACAAATTGTGACTGTAATGGTAGTTGGATAAAAATGGTACAGGTACCTTCATTCTTAGCCTCAAAGACCTTCGTTGGCAGCTCCTGTATGTGTTTACTAAGTTTGCTGCGGAAGTCTTTAGCAAAGATTCTAACTGCTTTTAGAAGGCTGTCAATATAACCAAAACATTTCAATCAGATCAATCTTAAAATTATAGGCCTACAATTGAAAGTTAAATCAACAAATTATTATACAGTGCAATAATTGTGGTAGACATGGCATTACACAGCACAAACCTAAAAAAAGCCCTTAGCTAAAGATATGGGACAGGACAACTTATGTCTGAATGCTGAATAGTGCTGAAAAGCAACACAACACTCTCAACCATACAGAGATGCTTGTTTGGGAGACTTTATTATTTATTCATGCAAAGGTTATTCAACAATACCATAAACAATCAACCACAAGACTTCTTGCCAGAGCTCCAAGTTTTCCGTAAGTCACAGCAAAACAAGATCACCTCCCGCAAGGAAGCAATAACCTCCTGGAAAATCAACTCCCGCAAATTTATAATATACTGTTACTACTGTATCAAATTGTGTCCCAGAAGTAACCATATGCTGTAGAGGTTAAAGTGTGTTAACAATATCTCATTTATCCAGACTTTCTGGAAGTTGCTTCATCCAGAGAGAGCAGCTCAGTCGAGAGAGCAGCTAGCTCAGTGAGACGGCAGCAAGCTCAGTGAGAGGGCAGCTAGCTCAGTCGGCTAATCTGGTGGTAGCCGCTGTGTGTGCGCTCAACCGTGGAGATCTCTAGGTCCCCAGTTCAATTCCCATCGCTGCCTCTCCTTGTGTTTCAGCTAGAGGGCTGAAATACAAGTTACAATAGCGCACCGTCTTTCGGATGAGACGTTTAAGCCGTTGGTCCCGTGTGCATTATGGCCCATGTGCACGTTAAAGAACGCAGTACACTCTTCGGAAATGAGAAGGGGATTGTCTCCCGGTGTACTGCCCAATCACCCCCAGAAGGCCCCACTGGAAATAAGTCTTCTTCTAGACTTTCTGGGCTATCCTTGGTGTTTACACTGAATAAATCCAATCCAATCCAATCCAACTTGAGACCCCTGCTCCTTGCAAAGATAATAAAATTTTATGACGTGACTAGCAAGGTAACTCACCTTTGAGGCACTTCTAGTGTTGTGCCAGGAATCAAGATGCTAATAATTGTCTTGTAGAGAAGGATGTCACAGAACTTTATAGTTCCTGCCAAATATCCCATTTTAAGTAACTGAAGGTTTGCAGCACTTAAGTTCTCCCAGAAGATCACCATTTGACTAAATATCTAGTATCATGGAGGAGAAAATATCAATAAATATTTTTATTTATTTACTGCACTTATATGTCCTTATATAATTATTGATCGATAAAGCCATTATTTTGAAACAGGTTTAAATACTGAGAAGCATATTGTGGATAAAGCCACTCTTTCGAAACAAGTTTAAATACTGAAAAGCATATTTGTGGATGAAGACACTATTTTAAACAGGTTTAAATACTAAGAAGCACATTGTGGATGAAGCTTTTTTTAACCAGATTTAAATACTGTACTGAGAAGCACATGGATGAAGCCACTATTTTTAAACAGGTTTCAATACTGAACACTAAAACATTTTGATTTTGTTGAGAAGCAGAACCAGTTAAATTACAATAAAAGTAATTTAACTGTTCCATGGCAGAACAACAAACTACTGTTGAAAATAAACTTTCTTGTATCAAAATTCATTGCTATCATAAATCATCACTAAATCATACATTTTGGCCCACTTTATAACTTTTAATGTTAGGACTTTCATTTTAAACCAAAACCTGCGAACCCTTCAAGCCAGGCACTCATTGCGTCATACGACCCTCGCATGACACTTCCAACTCCGCTCTCTGTAAGCGATAGATGATGCGACGCTGTCTGCTGTTTGTCGGTGGCAGTCTAAACTGATGGTAATTAAAAACGATTGGCTGCACGCACATCGTCGCATTGCGTTCTTTATAGAATCGTGTCGGCTGACGATCGTCATGCGCAGCGAGTGTCCGGCTTTATATGCACTTTGTCAACTAGAATTTAAAACAAGATTAGAGTAACTAACATGCCTATTACATGAATTACATACAGACCACACAGTATTTTATTTCTAACCTACTTTCTATTAGAAATTGCTAGTTTTACCGCACTTATATATCTCATTATAAAATTAAAAGTATGATTTTCTTTACATTTATCTAAAGAATATCATTATAGATACATATAAAAATTCCAAACAAAATACAACATGGTAGAAACGCTGACTTGTAATGACATTTACAAGTTTTTAAATCAAGAGAATAATAGCTTTGCAAAAGTGATAACAGCTTAAACGTCTCCCATTAGCTCAACCCGCCCTCGATAAACTAATGTTACGTTATCTCACTATATTAATTGGATAACGCATTATCAAGGATAAGTACTGAGTGTTTAACACTGGTGTCCTTGGATTCAATTATGGGTAAACGGATTAGTTGCATTGTGTTATGAGGTTTTAATTGTTCTTTACCGCGAAAGTGCGGTATTCTAACGTTAGTTTAAGGAGGGCTGGTTGGCATAATGCTTTGAAAGACAGCATGCCTTTAAATTTCAGCCCTCCAGCTGAAACACTAAGAGGGCAGCAGACTGAACTGACCATATACTGTATTTAACGATCATCATGGTTCAACACACAGATGCACTACCAAGTAACAGAGCTAAACTGCTCTCTAAAACTAAAATTTTTTTGTCTGTCAGACCATGAAGGAAAGATGCGTCTTTCCATCATGGTCAGACTCTGTTAAAAACAATTTTCATCCATAAGAATGTAAGCCTGTGTTGTTGAGTTTGACAAAAAAAATCTCAGAGGGTGTTGCTAGTTTTACTGGACTAACAATTATGATCAACTCACCTCTGAAAATTTCCCCTTTAATATGGCTTCCAATAAGTACTCGCAGTGGGTTCTGTACTCTGTTAGAAATGTATCCACCTAAATCGCAACCATTAAATTTAAAAAGGTAATTTCATTTAATATGCAATAGTCCCAATAGTCCCACTGTGACTTAAGGTCAAAAAGGAACTAAAAATTAATTGCACATAAAAAATAAAAAACAAAACAAAAAATTATAGTTGGTCAACATATTTGTCATCATCATTGTCACCATCTTCATTGACCATTACTGTTACAATAATATTATCATTATGACCAACATCATAATTCTTATAATTTTCATCTTCATTCTTATCAGACTCATCATCATCCTTATCCTTATCACTAATGTCAATTACCATCATTACCTTGTCTAAGTTGGCAATGGAAGGCAATGATTTCAACATGAATGCTTTAGGGAATTGAGGGATAAGAGCAAGTCCAAGAGCTGTGACTGGTGATAGACTGCGATCAACAGGTCCTGCAACCTGCCAATAAATAAATAACAATGTAGTATATGAGACCAGTTGTATGTCGGGATTTTTTGTTTTAGTCTATTAGGTAAAAGTACAAAATAAGCATATAACTAACAAATTATTATATCAATATTACAAATTATTATTATAACACTTGAAAATTTCACCAAAAAGATTTACATCACACACACACACACACTAAAATGATATATTATACCATTTGTCATAGAAACTAAAAAAAACCTCAAAAAACAATTAAATATTAAATAGAGTGGCGCGATAAAATAAGTTTTCTACAGTAGATAAATCAAGTTTTCTATTATAATAGACTTTCATTATAAAAATTATAATAGATTACCAGCAAGTTAAGACTTTTATGCAAAGAATATTCTATTATTCATGTGTCTGTTAATTAATAATAATAATAATAAACATGTTATATCGTCATTGCGAACTTATAAAATCCGCATACGCCTTAAAACTAAAAGGAAATGCATATGTTTAGAGTCCGTACTGAGCCCAAAAAATCCGCAATGAAAATATAACGTGTTAATAGTTCATTCTTATATAGCACAAGTAAGCAAGCTCTCAATACGCTGTATATAAAAAACAGAATAAAGATGTCATGTTAAATTAATGAAAAACTTTATTAAAAATGTAATTAATCATTTAAAAAACCAATTAGTATATCCTAATTATTAAAGAGGAAACCTACCGGTGAGTCTTCAGTGGTGGAGTCCATGGTGGACTGATTCTTATTTGGTTTGATTGTGTTGTCAATGTCGGTAATCATTAAGTTGCTTGGCACTAGTGTGTGTTTTGGCAACTTTGGCTCAGAGGTGAAATGTTCGTCACTGTGGCTGAGTTCAGATGTGCGCTTCACTCGGATTCCATAGTAGTGGTATTTAGACTGACCCCTGATCCCCAATCGACGAGTCTTAAGATTGACGAAAACTTGCCGGATAAGCTGAAGTGATGAAGTTAACAGAAAATTATTAGATAGACACCCGTATTCTTAAAACAAACTTTAGTCGAACTTTGAACTAGAACTTTATTTAGTCTTAGTTGCAACTTCAAATTCAATTTGTATTCAAAAACAACGTAGTCAAGTTCTAACTACGGATAAATCAAGCCCTAGTTGTCGTTCAGCTGAAGACGGCTGGCAAGCAACAACTATCAAACTAACAAATGAAAAGAGCTAATTTTAATAGCAGACGAAATTTTAGTAATCTGGTAATGCGGAAGAATATTAAACTGCCATCTGTCTTTCAAAAACATATTTCCTCATTATTCATAATAGCCAATTATTTGCCTAATATTATATAATAATAACATAATATTAATATTAGTTTAGTAATATAATAATAACATTAGTCGTTAACATCTAATGATAGAGAATTTGAACTGTCACTGAAAATTTGCTTTCTTTGGAGAACTATTATAGGTAAGGTCAAGCGAGGGCGGCGCCATCTTTGTTGTTGTTACGGTGAAGCTACGTGACCACAACAAGAGGGGATTTCATGCAAATCAGGAACTGTTGCATGTGGCTAGCAAAGCATGTTAATTTCGCCTTTTGGAACCTAAACGTAATGTCCATTTTCTAGAACACTCTGGAGACACATCAGACCAATTTATACAATCGTTTTTATACATTTCACTTTATCGTAAGTTACAAAAAGCATGTTTTTAGTGGTGTAAATATTTCTCAAGTCGACGATTTAGCCCGACCGTAAGCTGACTAAAAAAAAAATCGGCCTAAGGAGGTATAATTTTAGTCAAGGTTCGCGTGATTTAGTCGTAGTGCTATTCGAAGTTCGTTTTAAAAATACGAAATGACGTAATTTTGAAGTTTTATCTCGAACTACGACTAAAGTTTGTTTTAAGAATATTCTTTGCTAATTCTCTCATGGGTTTCTATCACCACTATAATTTAAGGAGTGTCTTCGTAACCAACATAATGTGGCATTTTAATACCTAAAACATTATCTATTGCAACCGGTTTCATTCTTAACAACACATAAATATGTTTTTTGTGACTATAAACAAGACTTGCCTTTCCAAATGTTGCAGGATTAAGTGGGTTGAAGGAATTGGAAGCACAGAAATCAGTGTACTGATCATAGACAACACACCTTGGAACAGAGTAGCTCTCACATGTCTCATAGTTCTCCATAAGCCTAGTTACATAAATTTATTGAATATATATTTTCATCACAGAAACAAATGTACAAAAAATACATTATCAAGAGGTAAAGATACACATATTGCCTGTAATTCATGACCACATTCAAATCTACTATATATCTATTTCATTTCAAATAGAATTGAAAAAAATTTACATCTTGTGGCTCGACAAAATTGTGGGTAAATTTTTTGATATACCATATTGCAAACATAATGTCATTAACTTCTTAACATGATTATGCATGATGTCATTAATGTAATGAAGATTTCAACTAACCATTGCAATGTTAGAACTGTCTGTAATCTACTTGCATTAAATGCTGAATTTGAATTTTGAGTAGCAGACTGCATATCACCCATTTCATTTGGAGTGTTTCCCATTCCAAAAGGAGTTTTTCCCAGTCCAGTGAAAGACATATCCAAATGACTGGAAGTACTGGTAACTTAGATAAAACACAAAATCAGTTATACAGCAAGTGTAAAAAATAGAGGATTAGCTAATTATGTATAAAATAGCAAATAATTTTGTTAAATTAAAATTTGAAACAGCTACTTAATCAAGTTTAGAGTAATTACCTTCGCCCCCACTGGGCGAAGAGGGTATTGCAATGAGCTCCGTCTGTGTGACTGTGTGTCCTTCCAGGTGCACAACTCAAAAACTACTGGACTGTTTAACCTCAAACTTTCACAAATAGACAGAGCATAATATTGTACAATACTAAAAGACTCCACAAATTGTCCATAGTTTATTTACAATTTGTGACAAAGACAAGCCAAACCAGTCACTCGTCGCAAAAATCGATTTTGAGTTATTAATACAGTGTTGGAGAGTAATATAATAGCTATAAAATGGTTAAAAAAATCATTCAAATCAGACATTTCCTTATGAAGTTACAAGCGTTTAACTACACAGCTGTTTAAAGAACAATATATGAGAAATCAGCCTTCAAAGATTATGATTTCAGGCATTCCTCATGCAGAAACTATCTTTAAATCCTTAAAAAGCATTGTTTTAACATTGAAAATGGGGAAGATGACAGCATAGAATTATGTGTAGATATATAAAGGTTAGTTTAGTGCAATAAAAATAGATTTTTTAAAATATGACATTCCAGCATGTTTTGGCCATTTTCTCTGAAACACGATTTGCGACGAGTGACTGGTTTGGCTTGTCTTTGCCACATTTAGACTTGCCACAAGTCTCTAATTTATTGATTTTTCCTAATATTAGATAAATTCGGAGAGCGGAACAAGTGTATGTCAAGAAACTTGTTATGTTGTTGAATTTGGAAAAAAAAGTATATAGTATGGAGTGCCATGCAAGTAATATGGAACGCTATCGGTGCCAAAAATCAATTTTACACGTTTTCACAAGACAAAATTTAGGGACTGGAAGTGCAATTGGGCTAGCTAGTGCCAATTTAGCAGACTATGGGCTGCTGGCATCTGGCTATGTTTTATATCCTATAAAATAAAGTCTTCAAATCAAATTTAATCAATTTAATGACTAAAAATCAAAATGATATTTTCTATTAAAACTTTAATCTGCATCGGAACATCCTTAGAATTCAATCTACATACCATGAGGAGTTTCTTCCATATTTGGGATGTTTTGTCTGCTATTAGATGCCTGTAAGCCAGAGTTAGGTCCTTGTTGTACTTGTAGGTTAGAGTTAGGACCTTGCTGTAGTTGTAGGCTGATGTTAGAACATTGCTGCACTTGTTGCCTAGAGTTAGCATGTTGCTGTGCCTCTTGATTAGAGTTAGCATAGTGTGTCTGTTGGCCGGAGTTAAGACCTAGCTGTACCTGTGAGCTAGGGATAGAACCTTGCTGTGGATACTGCAGGGGAATATGCTGGGGGTTATTTGGATGTCTTGACACCTCACTTACACTTGAATTAGGAATAATTTCAAAGGTGAAGCCATCTTGTGTTGCAATGCGTGCTGATGTACTGTCTCCACTTGGGTTTGATAATGTGACATAACAGGGCTCATAAACATGCTCAATTTTTATTACTTGTTCCTTGCTAGTCTGCATATTGACATTCTGTGACATAGCATTAGGCTGAGCTAGAAAAACATCTCCTTTAGACTGCGAGTTCATTAGCATAATGCCTTGTTGTGTGTGGTCCTGAGAAGGAAAAACTGGCAACCTTTGGGGCTGCCCATATCCAGGACCACAGTTGATTTGGCCTGGCCACATGTTGCTCTATACCACAAAAAGAAAAAAGCATGAGGTGATTAGTTACAATTGAATTCAAACTCTCCTGATTCGATCAGATGTTTCCTGATTTTTCATGCAATCTCCTGGTCTTTGGAATTCTAAAAAATTCTAATGAGTGGTTTCTAGGTACAATAAATTGGGTATTCCATTCTGTGTCAATTTTTCCTTTGTGCACCAACAGTGTAACAATGTTTCGAATGTTATTGACACCTCAACAGATCACATTTGATATCAATCAAAAAATCAACATATTGGTGGTGGGGCACACAGACCTCCTGTGCACCACCAGTCTCCCAAATTTCGAGTTCCAGGGGTCAACATAATTATACAGATTGACATGTATGCTAGAGGGTAATGGTAAGTAACATGAACCTCTTGCTCGCAACGGTGATTAAATGTTTTGGGGCCTGAGCAGTGAGCTGAGAGGTATTGTTCTTGTGCTGAAGTCACTGGTTCAAACCCATCCAGAGTCCGATCGCTTGACTCCTTGAACAACCCTCATATTGAGAGTCAGTCGAGTTAAGGATACTGTTTGTATCCATGTGTCTATTGTATATTTTAGTTAAGTTGGCTGGCACTGCCCAAATTTCCAATAAATGATGACAATTAAAGAATTGATATTATTTAATTATATTATTCAATTTTTTTAATATATATAATTTGACAAAATTTGGGGCCTGTGTCAGCTATGTACCCCTTCCCTTTGAATCCTCCAATGATGTACAGTGGTTAAATGACTTCAGTTAACTTAACATATTTAATTTTATTACGGCAAATACCCATTGGCACTGCCTTCCACGAGTCAATTAATTAGGCCTACAGCCTAGGCCAATTAAAATAATAAAATATTGAAAACATGCAAATAAATATGAATTTGTGGGAGATGCGTTATTATTCCGGGATCTTGATTGCGGGAGTGCGGAAGGTCGTCCCGATTTTCGGGAGACTCTGCAAACGCGGTTTCGACAATCTGGCCTGGGCCTATTATTTATCAGATGATCTTAGGTTGCCCGGTCCTACTAACAACTAGGCCTACTAACAACTAGGCCTAGGGGCCTAGCCTAGGCCCGTGCCTAGTGAATTTTGCGTGGAGAAACACCAGGTACCCGGCCTAACCTCTAGGCCTAGGCTCTAACTATACACAGAGTAAGTTTGCTCTACTGGCAGCATAAAATCAAGTCTAATATAGATATATGTATTGAAATATAAACTGCTTATTTACACTGGTCTAGGTATTCTAACCCTTCTTACCAAAAACTTAGATATAACAAGATGTTCTCAGTCAAAGAATCGATCAAGTTTCTTTTTTTGCAGACTATTGTGACTACGCCCTCTAGCGCACAAAAACTTTTTCGCGCGCGCTACCGCAAAGGCAAACTGTATGCTCTATACATGTTATGCAATGAATTAAATAATAATGATATCTCAAGTAGGCCTACTCAAAATTTAATAAAAATTGAAAGTTGAAATGTTACGAAATGTAAAAAAAAAAAAAACCAAACAAAAAGGCAATCAATTTAGAATTCAACAATATAATACCAACAAATGGTTTTGCCAGAGCCTGTCGTTTATCGTCATTCATTCACTGTTCGTCAATCATTCAGGGATGGCGCCAGGATTTGCCTGAGGGGGTTCATGTCCCAGACGAAAGCGTGAGTGGGCGTGGTCGGGCATCGCTCGAAAGTGATCCAGAGGCTTATTTGATTGATTTAAGTCTACTAATAATTATGTAAAAAATACATAGGTATTTTTTTTTTCTCCTAAAGACGAAGGCCCTATCTTGTCTGTTCACTTGTGCGCTAGTCTGTTCCTGGAGGTGTGGTGCATATTTCCGGACCAAAACCGAGTAAAAACGCAATTGACATAAAACTTAGAAATGGAACACTAATATATGGAACATAATAAGTAGTTAGGCGAGACTATTTGTATACCTTGTTTATATGTATTGCTCCCGCTGCAGCCTTGAAATTGCCAAAATAAAATACGTATATTTCTTCCTAATTATATAAATTTAAAGCATTTAACCACGCCATAACTACATTGTTTATATTCACCAATAACATTTTTTTATTTTCTCCTATGTCTGGATGTATTTTGGCAAAACTATTTGCTAAATTAGAAAACAAAATTTTGTTTTATTTTTTTCTGCCCGCCTCTGACGATCTTTAAAAAATAAGTTTGCGAAACAAGGTATAAAAAATGTCTCGCCTTATGTAACTTGTGTGTAACAAAAATCAATGATAACTTTCAGATGTTACTTTTTTCACTTTAGCTTTTATTTATATCACACTTTTTTCTGTTCACTTTATTCATCCAGAGAAGCAAACATGAAAAATATGTAGTATCAATGATGAATTCGAATCTACAGTAGTTACCCCAATGCATGAGCCATTTTGCTCTTTCAGAGTCCAAGACTCCAAATGATATGAGTCATATTAGATGCTTTGATGTGGTTTGGTCTGGTATAGTGTTGGTATAGTACTGCCATGCACATGCTTGTGTTTCAGGGTTGAAATCACCCCCCCATTGTGCTCTATTCTTTTGTTGTTTTTTTTTGCTTATTATTATTATTATTATTAAACACATTTTTAAAATGTATAATATAATTACAGTACATAAGAAATAGCATACTAGGCCATTTTCTTGTATTCATTAAAAAAATGTTTAAAAAGATTAATTTAGAAAGAGTAAACGTCAGTGAGGGATTCAAGCTAAATTTTCATAAACTATATAAAAAAAAATGTTAGTCTTGATAGTGCCATTTCCCGCCATCTAGATGTGCCATCTAGATGATGCCATCTACATGATGCCATCTAGATGTGCCTAATCATAAATTTCAACCATGTGGGGCGAGGTAGCTTACATTCTCCATCTTTGAAAATCACTTTCTATTTCAAATTCCTGGATCCACGACTAGTGGTGCATGACAAAGTCTGTATCCATGGAGGAATCTGAATCTCTTTCTGACCAGGTTGGTTCTTCATCTATGAAGGAATACTTTTTAAGAACTACTATGAAACCAATAAAATAATTGGAAACATAGTTTGTGTATTTGGTTGTTTATTTCTTCCCTTCTATCATAATAATATGATATCCAAATTTAGTCTTAACAGGTGGATCTGTGTAAATAGGACTGTTGGTTGTACTTGGTTGAAGGGCAAATGCTGCATCTTGAAATGGCCCTACCATCGAGCCTCGTGTCATCCATCCAAGATCACCCTGAAGAAAAAAAACAATTTTTGTCATATTATTACTAATGTACAGTAATCATTAAATCATTTTAAAATTTGTATAAAATAATATGAAGCCCAAGTTGCTAAATTAATTGAACTCCCACATTGTCATATACAATTTAATAAAATTGGAAAGAAAAAAGGAGATGCACTTTGTGTTCTTAAAACATGGAGGTCTTCAGAGAACAGAAGAGCTCAGCTGGTATACTAAGAGCTCAGCTGGTATACTAAGGGTAGCAAGCAGATAGGAGGGGTATAGACTTGCATCACACTTGTAGTAAAGTCGTGGAAGTGCACTTGCTGCAACTTGGTTGTAGAATAGCGGCAATAAAAGTGCACTGGTGCAACTGAAAAAAAAAAGCAAAATGCAAAAAAAAAAGCATTTGCACTACAAATTTTGTGAAGAACAATTAAACTACCGTAATTAAATTTTATGCTGATTAAAGTTTTTGCATAATCTTGCTAACAGACAGAGAACTGAAAATACAACAAAACAGACACACTCTGTGGGAAGAAATTGGTAGGAAAAATCAATACCACCAGATTACAGCAGGTACCCTGGGGATCAAGCGCTATGTTCTTTTTAGGCACACAAGGAGCAGAGTGAAAACCTTGATTCTTTCTATGACACTGTCTGTATGTGCTGAATGCAGCAGAGGTCCAAGGACCACAGGACCCTCGTTAAGGAGCCATGAACCCCATCATAGAAAAGCCAACCATATCATCAGGGAACACTGCATTGAAAAAGTATTTTTTCAGTCTGAAGTACAAGCATCTTCAGCTGCTGTATATCTTAAAATTTTCTCCAACTATAGTGAGGCTGAGGTGAGTGTGGATCCCCCATTAAGGATCTTGGACAGACAGTATGTACTGTAGCTCAGCTTGATTAAACTGTTGGTAGCCACTGTGTGTGTGCTCTGAACCGTGGAGATCCCTTGGTATCGCACTAAATTCCCATCGCTGCTCTCCTTGTATTTCAGTTTCAAAAGCACACCTTCCTTTGGATGACATGTTTCAGCTGTTGGTCCTGTGAGCAAAATGGCACATGTGCATGTTAAAGAACCCAGTACACTCTTCGGAAAAGAGTAAGGGATTGTCTCCCGGTGTACTGCCCAATTCACCACCAGAAGGTCCCCACTGGAAGTAAGTCTCAGGACTTTCATGGGTTATCCTTAGTGTGTATGACACTGTAGAAATTCGATCCAATCCAATCTCACTAAGAAATTGAGAACATTAAAACTATACCTGTTTCCTTTGCTCTACACCTGTTATCAATATAAAATTTAAAATACAGTACTGTATATCATTATGACTTACCCCTTGTCTTGCTTTGTCTTCACTGTACTGTGTTGCTACCTCATTGAATTTCATGCCATCTTTTAATTTCTGCATTGCCTCCATGCACTTTCCATGTTTTTCACACAAAATGTGTCTCACCTGCAAACCAAAACAAATGTTTATAGGACTTATCAAACAGAATAACAATAATACAGTATAGGGATTTATAAAGCGTCTTTTACCTAGGGAGAGCAATGGGCTTTTCTCACTTACATATGAACTGATTGTTGAAATTACAGAAAACTTTTCATTGCAACATTTATGCTTTACAATAATTATTCAGATAGCTGTATAAGAAGTTCACTGACCTTAACTTGGCTGGTTCCTCCTTTCTTTTCTTTTGCTTGGGCATCCCCACTATCTGTGATTTTAAATAAAACATTAATTTAATAATGGGAATACAGTGGATGGGTATTATCATTCATTATATCTTTAACTTTCTTAATCATTTTCTCATTAAAAGCAAAATCCAGATTCATCATGTTATCACTAATAATTTGATTTGCTCTTTTGTTTATTCTCTCTATGGGCATTTTGTCTTTCTGGGTCATATTTTCAAAGATGCAAAGCCAGTGTAAACACCAAGGCTAACCATGAAGAAATGTTTTATTCCTCCATGGGCTAACCAACAAAAGCCAGAAGACTTTCCAGAGGGGTCATTGTGGTGGTGGTTGGGCAGTGCAACAGAGACAATCCACCAATCTTTTATGAAGAGCATACTGCATTAATCTTAAAGTGCATGAGCCATATTGCACACAGGACCAACGGCTTAATATCTCTCCCAGCATGGAGTATAAAAAAGACTCCAGCATCAGCACTTTTTTATACTTAAATTTCTGCCCTCCAGTTGAAACACAAGGAGAGCAAGAGATGGAATTGAACCAGGTACCAATAGGTTGACAACGGATCTCCAGAGTGACATGGGAAACTGAGATACTCTCAGGAATGGAAAAAAGGGATTAGGCAAGTTAAATGTACTTTAAAGAGATTAAGTTTTGGTTACGTATTCATGTGTGATAAGATCCACTGGCTGTACTTATTTTTGTATTAATAAAAAATATTCCTTTACCATTATTCTTCAATAGATCAGTTTTTAGCCTTACAGGTAACACCATCAATCTGTTTCTTTTTTTGTTTTTATTTTTTTTAATTGGTGCATTATTTACTAATTTCAGATGGTATAATACATTTGTTTTGTCTTTTGCTAGTCTATTCAACTGTCAATTTCTGGTTGCAGTACATTTCCTTATCAGCACTCCTGCTACAGGTATGTAGATGAACAATTTCGTCACCGAGGTGCCTGAAATGTTAGGCGCCGAGCGCTATACATGTTTTTAACTCAATTGTGTACCTCTGTTTCCCATGGAACTCGCACACAAATGGTTACCACCAGTTTAGCTAATGAGCTATGTTACACTCTGGGTGTGTTCGGGCGAGTTTTTTGCAGAGTCATTTCCAGTTCTGCATGAACCGGTATGCTCAGAAACAATAGAAAAATTATGTTAAAATTATAATCAATCCTTTAGGAACAGATTTAGGTGTCATTCATTTATCAACATTTTTACAAATGTACACTAGGGGAGAGGTACATTTGTGCACTTTTTTTTAGACATGCATGGAACTGTTGATTCAAAATATGCAATATTTAAAATAGATTTTTATGACCAATTACAATGCAATCATATACATTTTTATTTTACCAAGTAAAGCAGGCCTACTTAATTGACTTCAAAATGGAGAATGCTTTTGCAAAATCAACATTTTTTATGTACACTTTCAGAGGGGGGGGGAAGGGTGTACCAAAAAAGTATACTGTTTGTGCAAAAATGTTGATATTTGTGAACAAATCCATTGTTTACTTCTTGCTTCATAGCATTCTTTGTAGAGTGTGGATCACATGCTCTCTAACCGTGGTCTTTTTCGTTTTTCGCGCTTGATCGAGGCTAGCAGCTCGACTCCCGACCCGACTAAAGACTATATTATAACAATGTTGTTGTTTTGTTAGTGTCGGTAAATGTATTGAACGAAAACATTAAAATGTTATTTACTTTGTCATGAATGACTATCGTAGAACAATACAGGCTTAGGCCTAGAAAGAAGAATATCGTTTTGACTTTATGGTAATAGAGTGCTAGTTTTAGCAGGGAACCTCCATGTTTTGGCGTAGGCCAAAACATACAAAACATGTATTGTACAAGTGTGTTCATTCAAATAATGACGTGAGTAAAATGAAAAGAACACAAATATTTCCAGCTCATAATATCACTTTTATTTGACATCTGATTTTTTTATATATGTTATAAGATTTATAAATATAATACAAAATTGCTAGTTTAACTGAATTTAGACATTCCTAAACATGAAAAAATGTAAAATAAGATGGAAATTTGATTTTTTTTTTGTGTTCCACATGGATGAATTTTTTATGTTTGATTTTGCGATAGGTCTGGAAAAGAAATATAGTAGTAGGCACCGGAAACATTACCCTATCCAACACCGCTAGGTTAGGCATAGCCCTACCTCGATTTATGTTCTGTTATCACACATAAAAATGGCACACATTATATTTTCCGTTGCTAGTATTGACACTTGTGAAATATAATATTTCACAGGAATTATTTCAAATCTGTTAAAACAATGATTCCGACCTAGATTTTGACAATTAAACAAACATATTTCAGACCTACTCGATCGACTGCAGTGTGCGAGATGCGAAGTACAAAAACTAATTTCATTAGAGAGGGCGCACTTTATTGACAGTATAAGTATACATAAAAGTGAGAGCATTTCAGTGGATGCAATCTACAACCTCTAAATTTGCCTAGTAACGAAGAATTCGTCGAGGAAATGGTAATCTCCTATGAGAAATAGTCTGCATTTCTCATTTTGTTTATTATTTTGAGTAAAACTAATATGCATGCCAACATTTTTCCATTGTTTATAATAATTAGAGTAATGCATATGCATTTTTTCTAAAAAAAATTCTTTTTTAGTGAAATTTTGCTGGGAATGGGGCCTTAATGATTAAACTACATACTATTGTAGAAATTTAAATTACGTTTAATAATAAAAACAAAATTAACTAGATTTGAACTCATCACTTTGGACGAGTTAGGTGATCTGCCACACATTTGAACTTGGACCTTCAGGAAGCATGCATGGTGTGGATCGAAAAATATTAATATGCTCAAATTATGGCCTATGAAGTGCTCTAATTTAGTAAAAAAAATAATAATTTTGAGCATTTATAAAACTTTTACGCAAATGTACACTCACGCAGAAAAGTTGACTCCTGATATGAGCTATACATGTCAACTCTCATTGAAAAACGCCTGTTGGTGAGGGCTTTATTACCTACAATCATACAAACTGACAAAGATTTCAAGGAAGAAGGATGAGGGGGTCAGAAAAAAACATTCATTTTGACCATGATGACGTCATATAAACTATAATTGTGTAAACTGATTTAAAAATGCTGTTGGTCGGTAATGGCATACGAAATTGACCATGTTACAGTTAAAATCCAGTCTGCCGCCCTCTATCGGGCTGTCAAAGATTTGAAGAAAGAAATAGTTGGGGGAGGGGTCAGAACATAATGACATTATCAAAGTGAAAAATGAATGACACTTTGTGAAAGGAAATTGTCTCAGCTATAACATACTCACAGGTGGGAGCTGAGATGATCGATCAAGAATAAGCTAAAATATGTTCAAATGAGTATAAAAATAATGATGTCATAAATAAAAATTCAGTTCTTTTTTTAATTCAGATTTCAATATCATACGATCAGCCATAATGATCTATAAAAATCATATCTACAACTCATGTGCTTTCAGATATGTAATAAAAATTGGTGGGGGGGGGGGGTTACCTTTCATTCTCAGGAGCTAAAAAACTGATTAAAAAATAGGCATGATTTTTTTTAAGCATATTTAAATTTTGACGCATGCCTACATGCACATTATGACGCGCGCACAGAAAATTAAGGTACATCACATTCAAGCTTGACACCTGAAGCTTAATGCCCACTGCCGAATATGATTCAGAAATGACGACTGGTTAGGAGGGGTCATCAGTCTTGAGGAAAGAAAGATGAGGGGTAGTTTATTTTATTTTTATTATTTTTACCATGATTATGTCATCAAAATGAAAAAAAAGTCACAATTATAAAAGGTAATTGTCTCAGCTATTATAATATACTCAAAGTTGGGAGACGAACCATCAAGGATAAGCGAGTTTATTAAAGTATTATTGCGCATGCGTTATCTAGGCCTAGGGCCTAGGCCTATTTCACGTAAATATTTCGACTTCCTAGCCTAAACTCAATGTGATGCATCCTTAATAAAGGTTTCAGTGACAAATTAAAAAAAACAATCAGTAAAGGTTTCAGTGTTCAATTGAAAAAAAAAAATCACTACTGCTAACTAGGCCTAGCCTAGTTTCAGCCCAGGCCACTATAGAGCCAAGGCCCTAGCCTACCAAGCCTGTGGTAGGTCCTAGCTAGGCTGATTCGCCTAGGAGGCCTAGCCTAGTCATCCTCTCCTCCCTCCAACAACCTCAAGGAATCCTAGCCTGGTACTCACCGTCGCCACCTTTGCCTTTTCCACTTTTCGCGCCACCCTTCCCTCCTCCAGCACCCTTTCCCTTGGGCATACTTATTTCAAACTAACGTATACTGATGGCTCATAAATGCCAATTAGGCCCAGGGTAACCTAGGCTAGCCCAACGTTGTATCGCACAGTCGCAGGAAGGTGCTGCTGAAACTGAGGTGCAGAGTTGTTCAAGCAACTTTTAACCAATATGGAACGTCGTTAGTGCCTTCAGAGTGTAATTATAATACAAAATTGGTTCCAATGTGTTGTAAATAAGTCCTTTTGCCTTCCCAGACCCCTTGGGACATGGTACTCTTCATGGTAATCTAAGTGGTGTACGTTAAAAATGACCCCAGAAAAAATGTTTGAAAACAGTGTGAAGATTTTTTTTAATCAGTTATATTACTAAAATTTATCATTGGGGTCATTTTTACCTACCTGTCATTTGCATGGGGCCATTTTTACCGGGGCCATCTTTTCCGGGGCCATTTTTGCCTACATTCATGTGGATAATTATGGGGGAGGATCTTAGCAGTTACATGGCAATTGAGATCGAGTGACAAATGATAGTACCCGAGATATGATCGGAGAAAAGGAGAATGGCCTACTGCAGAAAATTAAGAAGAGAAACATGAAATATATGAAACGTAGAGGAGATAGTTTGGTAGGCTACTCTGTGCTGTTGAGGGTAAAAGTGAGACAGCAAGTATCAGAAATGGTACGACGCAAGTCGGACAGCGTGGACAGGAGCATGGTTCCATGGAAGCGGCGAGACAGAATATCAGAAGACGTCAACGGCTCTATTAAGGCCTATGACTTTGATTATTATCATCATCAATAGTCCACCAACATGGGCAGTTCCACTTTTTTGTGAAGGGGGCAATGACGTATGTTATAATGTAATTCGGTGAGGAGCCTGGTTCTCCTCGCGGAAATAAAATGTTTCCAGATGCTAGGCGGATGCACTTTCCTCCTGCATGTTTAGGGGTCTGTACTTTTTCATATACAGTATATGTTTTTGTGTGTGTATATGAAAAATAATGGTGATAATTAAGAGATTGGAATTATTATACCTTTTTTGTTGCTGCTTCGAAACTTTGGAACCACCTACCTGATACTGTATGCGTGATTCTCCATTTTTGACTGCCTTCAATTTCTCGGCTTAAATCCCATCGTTTCTCTTTATTTTAATTCTGAACTTTCCTTTTCTTTTGGTTTCCACTTGGGCTGTGGTTCCTCAGTGCATAGAGACGATCGCTTTACAAGTAATAACGCCGGACCATTACCAGTATGATGATTTTATGGGTGGTGGAAGGTCGTATGCAATTGAAATGAGCCTATCACTGGGGGCGAGTAAGGTTCTGTAGTCGGGGTGCAAGGCGAAGGCCTTGGCAAAAGTTGAAAGCAGACTGTTTCGGTAGAGTAATTTGGAAGTCCCCCTCCTTCTTTTTTGGCAGAAAATATATGATATGCAGATTTTTCTATGATCGGCTTCCTCGCAATTCATATTACCATTCATCTTACTAGTGCATCTCCCCCACTTTCAAAAACGTTTCGCCAGCTATGTTAAAATGCTCAAATCCAAGATGGCCGCCAAAATTTAAAACGGGTGTTAAACACATGAAACGCATACTAAGCTCCCGATCCTCAACATTTTCTCACCTCAGAACCAGTTATGGTGGGCCTGCTGACGCAGGCAGAAGCATCTCCCATCTAGACACATGAGGCTGTGACATTCTTGAGCGACTTAATAAATGAACCTCCTGGGTTATAAAGTACGTTTTGCGAGTATTAACTAATAAACGCAATTAAATTCATAACATTTTGCAGTAGCCAACCATTGAAAACCATTTATTCAAATAATATGAAATCATTAACATTGGCAATATTTTTCATATTTGATTATAAAAACTATACTTAAAGATTATAATGATATATGTACCATATCCATACAATACAATATACTGTAATATGTTTTCAATCACGTAAGTCAAAGCATATTGTAATTTGTTCATGTTTGCCTATAATTACAAGTGCTGAATCAAATTTTTCCATTAGCAGAAAATCTCTCTTGCTTAATTTCTTAACATTAATTAAAACGCATGTTTAATTCTTTTAACAATGATCTATAAATCAATAAATATCTGCATCATCATTAGAAATATATATAGTGTAATATTATTATACTATTAATATATTATACTAGTAATATATTATTAATATTATTATTATTATTATTATTAATATTACTATTATTATTATTATTATTATTATTATTATATTTATTCATATCAAGATAATGTTCTATTATTGATAGACATAATTAAATAATAAGAGAACAATAGATGTTACCCAGTGTTAGTAAATCTTCACAATGTCCATAACGACGACGTTGATAATAGTTTTAATCATGAAGCTATGAATATTTTTCTCTAAACAACGAATGCTCTGTTTCGTGCCATCTTAATCAACATAGATGGAATAGCAGTAAATTTAGTCTGAGAGTATGCTTGAAAAATCAGAATAAGCGAAGAAACAGACATAATAATTGGTTTAAGCAATTCATTACTAGGTTCAATAAGGTTTGTTGTATCGCCCGGTTGCTTATATACCTCGTACAAAAATACACCTTGTGTTGGTTTAACACCTGACAGAGTTGCAGTTGGCAATACCACACCGGCTCCATCACTAAGCGTTGCTGTGTGCGTTACTACTTGGAAATTTGTAGCGGCTGTACCATCGTGATTTTCCGTATTGGTTGAAAGATCGGCAGTTGCGGTCGTTACACCTTGTGTTGCAATTATATGAGTAGCTTCTAGACCCCTTGTTTGGATTGTTCCTAGTACAGAAAATCCGGCAGTTAAAAGAAGATCTCGTGTTTCTTTAACATCTGCCAAGGTAGCAGTTGGCAATACCGCACCGGCTCCGTCACCAAGCGTTGCTGTCTGCGTAGCTACTTGAAGAAGTGTAGCGGCTGTACCATCGTGAATTTCTGTCATGGTATTGGTAGAGAGACCAACGGTTGCTTTCGTTACACCTTGTGTTTCAATTATTTGAGTGGCTTCTGGACCTCTTGTTTGGATTGTTCCTTGTACAGCCAATCCGTCGGTTGAAATGAAATTTCGTGTTGCTTTAACATCCGCCACGGTAGCAGTTGCCAATACCGCCCCGGCTCCGTCACCATGAGTTGCTGTCTGCGTAGCTACTTGGAGAAGTGTAGCAGTTGTACCTTCGTGGTTTTCCGTCATAGTATTGGTAGAGAGATCCGCGGTTACGGTCGTCACACCTCGTATTTCGACTGTTTGAGTAGCTTCTAGACCTCTTGTTTGCATTGTTCCTTGCACAGCCAATCCGTCGGCTGAAATGAACTCTCGTGTTGCTTTAACATCCGCCAAGGTAGCAGTTGGCAATACCGCCCCGGCTCCGTCACCAAGAGTTGCTGTCTGCTTAGCTCCCTGGAGAAGTGTAGCAGTTGTACCTCCGTGATTTTCCGTCATAGTATTTGTAGAGAGATCCGCGGTTGCGGTCGTCACACCTCGTATTTCGATTGTTTGAGTAGCTTCTAGACCTCTTGTTTGCATTGTTCCTTGCACAGCCAATCCGTCGGTTGAAATTAAATCTTGTGTTGCTTTAACATCCGCCAAGGTAGCAGTTGGCAATACCGCACCGGCTCCGTCACAAAGCGTTGCTGTCCGCGTAGCTACTTGGAGGAGTGTAGCAGTTGTACCTTCGTGGTTTTCCGTCATAGTATTGGTGGAAAAATCCGCGGTTGCGGTCGCGGTCGTCACACCTCGTATTTCTATTGTTTGAGTAGCTTTTAGACCTCTTGTTTGCATTGTTCCTTGCACAGCCAATCCGTCGGTTGAAATGAAATCTCGTGTTGCTTTAACATCCGCCAAGGTAGCAGTTGGCAATACCGCACCGGCTCCGTCACAAAGCGTTGCTGTCTGCGTAGCTACTTGGAGAAGTGTAGCAGTTGTACCTTCGTGGTTTTCCGTCATAGTCTTGGTAGAAAGATCCACGGTTGCGGTCGTCACACCTCGTATTTCTATTGTTTGAGTAGCTTTTGGACCTCTTGTTTGCATTGTTCCTTGCACAGCCAATCCGTCGGCTGAAATGAAATCTCGTGTTGCTTTAACATCCGCCAAGGTAGCAGTTGCCAATACCGCCCCGGCTCCGTCACCAAGAGTTGCTGTCTGCTTAGCTACTTGGAGAAGTGTAGCAGTTGTACTTTCGTGGTTTTCCGTCATAGTATTGGTAGAGAGATCCGCGGTTGCGGTCGGCACACCTCGTATTTCAATTGTTTGAGAACCTCCTAGACCACGTGTTTGGATTGTTCCCTGTACAGTCAATCCGTCAGATAAAAGGTGATCTCGTGTTGCTTTAACATCCGCCAAGGTAGCAGTTGGCAATACCGCACCGTCTCCGTCACCAAGCGTTGCTGTCTGCGTAGCTACTTGAAGAAGTGTAGCGGCTGTACCATCGTGAATTTCTGTCATGGTATTGGTAGAGAGACCCACGGTTGCTTTCGTTACACCTTGTGTTTCAATTATTTGAGTAGCTTTTAGACCTCTTGTTTGCATTGTTCCTTGCACAGCCAATCCGTCGGTTGAAATGAAATCTCGTGTTGCTTTAACATCCGCCAAGGTAGCAGTTGCCAATACCGCCCCGGCTCCGTCACCAAGAGTTGCTGTCTGCGTAGCTACTTGGAGAAGTGTAGCAGTTGTACCTTCGTGGTTTTCCGTCATAGTATTGGTAGAGAGATCCGCGGTTGCGGTCGGCACACCTCTCTCTTATACACATCTAGATGTGTATAAGAGACAGGTGTAGCAGTTGTACCTTCGTGGTTTTCCGTCATAGTATTGGTAGAGAGATCCGCGGTTGCGGTCGTCACACCTCGTATTTCTATTGTTTGAGTAGCTTTTAGACCTCTTGTTTGCATTGTTCCTTTCACAGCCAATCCGTCGGTTGAAATGAAATCTCGTGTTGCTTTAACATCCGCCAAGGTAGCAGTTGGCAATACCGCACCGGCTCCGTCACAAAGCGCTG